GGGACCCTTTTGCCAGTTTCCTTTGCAAGCCATGTGTGCTTGACTTCGCTACGGCGCCTGAGAGAAAAGCTGGCTTGGTGCGCAGCTTCTTCAGAGGATTGGTCCTCTGTGTTTCTTTGTGCTACAGGTTGCACTTTCTTTGATTGGCAGTTGAGGTTGCCATACATTGGTACTTGGGGTTTCGCTCTTTCCACTAGAGGCTCCCCTGCTACCGACAAGTGGCGTCCAAATCAGACCATCCTGTACTTGCCTAGATATCGGATCAGAGGAACGGCGCTTGGAAAGCAAAACAACGAAAGAGGTGAACTAAGAATGAAGGAACGTGAAATCAAGCATGTTGCTAGGCTGCTAGGATAACCACAGTTGCATAGAACAGTGGTCATGTCCTGCCAGGGCCGAGCTAGAACGGATCAGCCTCTTGGTTGCGCCGGTCGCTTTCTTCGCTTTCCACGACCTGGTGAATGTGCCACGGACCGGGTTGACGGCGTGCGGCGATCTGAGGAGCTGGCCTCGGTGAAGTTCATCAAGGTGGCCTGCGCTTCAAAAGCTCTGTGCAGGAGCTGAGATTTGAGCCGAGCTACCGATCGGGCCATGCTTCTTGGAGGCACGAATTCGGGCACGCAGGAAGACGGGAAACCCAAGGGCCAGAATGGAGCTTTTCAGGGAGGTGGAGCTCCCCAAGACATCTGGGAGGTTGATGGATTCTGTTCATTTCAGGCTGGCAGCCTGTCGGTTACTTGGTGCGAACCACAGTTGGGTCGTTTGGATTCTTGTGGAAGATCTGGTGTTTTGTAGTCTGTAGTGTTGATGTCGCTTTCTGCAAATCCTCATTCTCCCAAGGTTCCGGGACATCCAGCTGGCTCGCGCGAAGCTTCAGGAGCAGGTCCGATACTTTACAGATAAACTTTAGTGACAGTAGAGGCTTGTTCCGACTTTGCATGCCACCGCAAGAAAGGCTGCGGCTAAGGACCAAAAACATAGCAAAGGGCTTCACACATCCTGTGAACTCTGATATTCTCTGGTATCAAAAAGCCATATGTTGATGCCTGCAGTGCGCGAGGAGAACCAGCCGATGACACGAGTCCATCAGGCACCATACTACCGGCGTGGCGGCGCAGTCTGTCCCTCCAAAGATGGTGACTAGTGTGTTCAGTTGGGGTAGAGGAGTGAGACGGACTGAGCTCAACATAGCTCAACCACTGAGCGCAAAAACAGGTTGGAGATCCACCACCACGCCAGAGGGAGGCCGTGCCTTGATCCGATTGAGAGAGGTGTCTTGTTGAAGCAACCCGCGCAGCAGACACCCGTGCAGCGCTGGCGACTGAAGGTTATTACTACCATCCCCGCACCAAAGAGATCCGAGGAGTTCCACCGCAGGCAGCTTCACAAGACACTTGGACCAGCTTCGGGTTTTGTCGGACACTTGGGGCAGGGCGACGTGTTCTTTGGGTCCAGAACGGATCAGAACGGTGGAGCGAACCGACTGGTGGGGATCCAGATGGATCCAGATGGATTGAATGCAGATGGGCGCAACACATCGCAAAAACCACCTTTATCTATCAGCACCGTCCAACAGGTCTCCAAAGTTCAGGCTGCACATGCAATTTCTTGCTTGCTTTCTTCTACTGGTAGTGACTAGAACTGCATCCCAGGTGGTTTTCGCCAGGTGGTCGGGTCCTGGTTGTACTTTACGAGTCGTGTCCTTTCGGATCCACTGGTTCAACGACCGCCCCGACGCCCCGACCCGACGGGACGGCGTGGCTGGTGAGGAGAGTGAGACACCCTCTGCAAAGCCACGTGTGGGAGAGAAGGTGGAGGTCTTTAGCAATTCCGCTCGACGCCACTTGGCAAAGTGGGAGAGTCAAAGAAGAGGGGTAACATCATGGAATCATTGACCCATCCAAAGTGATTGGTAGAGGGAAATATCATGAACTATAACAATGTTAAACATAAAACTAGCTATAGCTATATAGAATACTATACACAGAAACATCTATAAACTAAAAGCTTCAGATTCCTAGGGTCCTCTTTTTTGACTTGACCGGGCATCTCCAGCCTTACCTTGTTTGGACTCTGGACCTGGCGAAAGTGCCAGTTGGCAGGCTTGCGGGGCCTTGCGGGGACTTGCGGGGACTTGTGGGATTGATTCCTGCATCATCACTGAACTGGTACAGTTGCCTTCTGAAAGAGCGATGGCCTCCAACCTAAGAGCGATGGCCTCCAACCTAAGCGCGATGGCCTATGATGATCCCAGGCTGGTGTCCGGGCTTTGTGGAGAAGGTTGGAAGGAGCCGTCGTTGGTCGCGAGGTCGTCCACATCGCGACGAGGATTCCGCACCCCCAAAGCCTGGAAACGTGTTTTGGGCGTCTAAAGCCCTACGAATCATGTTGCACTGCTTTCTCCCACCAGGATTGCAGAGTGCGTGGCTCGAAAAAGAAGCGACCAAACCTGAAAATACTCAACCTACATAGGGGCCGAACCTCTGTTTCATCCACATAGGGGCCGAACCGTTGGAAGCCATCACCAGGCCGGAGCCGAATGCACCCTCTTCCAGTGCCAGTCATGTGGCGCATGTCGCGAAAGGCGATGGGGTACCATTCCATAACCCTGTGGCAAAACCAACATAGATAGACTAATGTGGATTAGACATGGTTAGATAGACCATGATAAACCTTTTTGATCCCAAAAGCAACACCTGCCCACGTGCAGTCAGACGTTGCTCAGCCCAGACCTGGCTGTCTGCCGTCGCCCCCTGCCATCGCCCCCGGTCCGCGAGGACGGAAGTGACCATCGCATTTCAACTTCCAGAAGCAAGGGCCAATGAATGGAGCAAGCACCTTTCTTGCATCCAATATATAGCATTGCTTTGCGAGTTTGCTTTGCAAACTGCAAGTCACTTATATAGGAAGCAGTTTGCTTTGCAAACTGCAAGGAACTTGCTTTGCAAACTGCAATCGGAACTAGTTAGGAACTTCGAACTGACTGGTGCGACGAAAGTAGGGAATGAGGGCGGCTCACCCGCCACTTCTACGGAATGGATCCATGCCCTTTTCCTTCATGAGCCGCGTGAGTCAGTTGGTTATGTTGTTTTAACATCCTCAGCCTTCCGTAACTTCCCGGGCAATCAAACGACTACGGACGGGCGCACCCAATTGTCTTGGCAATTTCGCCGCGGGCAAGGAAGACTCTGGCTCTTGGTCACAAAGAATTGCGCTGGGTATCACGACCGTCAGGATCACCAACACCAACAAGTGGCAGCGCATCCTTTCCCGAACAGCGCGCCCTGTGCAAAACACCCTCAGGTTTCTTTGGCACCAGTTTGCCGAGCAATTGGACGCTTGAGGAAGTCGAATTTTACGACCGGCTGTTTGCCGACTTGAACTCCAAGAGCGACACGTGCTCGAGTCGTCCTGACACCGGGATCGATCCTTTGGCCTCCCTGCAATCGGAGTACCTGGAGCAGTGCGGTCTACCCCGCCGAGCCTTACGAGAGATTTGGCAGGTGGCCAATCCCCACCTCAAGACCAGCCTTGGCCTGGAGGAATTCCGCGCCAGCTGCCGGCTGGTGGGGCACTGTCAAGCGATGTCCCTCCAGGACGAGAAGGTGCCGGCGTGCGGCGGGCTGAGCGGTCGGGAAAAGACTATGCTTTGGAAGGTTTGATCCTCCAAAACAGGGGTCACTCAGGCTCCAGGTAAGTATATTATAAGTATACAATATACAATGCAATATTATATACCATATATTATTTATTATACATATATATATATATCATTCAGCATGCATCATGTTACCTGAGGGATCTCGCACCCACCTGGCCGCACGATGTGTTTGCGCAGTGAGGTGTGTTGAAATTTCATGTGACGACATCAATCGACCCCTCAACTTCCCCAAAAGGCTTTGACAACGTGATTCCGTCAGCTGCATATTGGACAGTCTGGAGGAATTCTCCAACTGTTTTATTTTTGAGGAGTGTCCAATCGTTCTGTTCGATGTAAATCGTCCTCGCACTCCATGGGTTGCAGTCAGATTTTAGAACAGAGGGTGGCCTTTCTATTTGACCATGTGACAATGTGTGTGTTTTTTTGGGTATGCTGAAACTAATTATATGGCATCTATGGATAACATCCTGGAGGTGTTCGGGGGTACAGCATGTTGGAGCCATACGCCATATGCTACAGCCAAATGAGTTGCTGAAGTGGCACGCGTTTGCAGGTGTTTCGACGCTTGCGTTCTGGGGGAGGTGGACTGCGAGCAGATTTACGCAGCCACTGCTTGGGAGAGCCGCCAGTGCGGTTGCCTGACTTTACCTTGAAAGAAGGGTCCTTGCCAGCTAGTGCAAAAAACTCAAGAAAAGCTTTCGGAGAGACAGGTTCAAACTCGTCATGGTTCCTGATGGTTCATGCATGTTCATGCATTTTACAAATCTGGTCTCCAGGGTATACCATCCTACACAACTTGTGTGACCTTCCATTGGGCACCCAGACAGGATGGTCCCGTCCCGCTGGAGTGGATTTTTCGATCTGTCGTCAGTGGAGAGATTCGGCGGGCTAGTGCACACCCGACATAGTGTTTCAGGCGGGCTACTGGTATGCCACAGATTTAGACCCGTTGTGTTTTGCTTATTATTTCATGTTGTTTCCATTCGAACGGACCAATTATGGTTTCAAGTGGTTTTATATTGTTTTTTGCAATTGATGCGCCGTTGAAGCGTGGATCTTGACTTCGCTTGCCATTCGGACCTTCCTAGTGACCCTTTTGGAGTCCCTGTTGGTGACTTCACGGGCTGTTGGTGACCGGTCACCGGTCAGGGGATCACGTGACCGGTCGGGAGGATCCCTTTTTCTCGTTGGAGGGGTGCGTGTTCCAGCCTCTCGCGTTGGGCGGTGTTCTCCCTCGTCGACCTCGTGAGTCCTCGTGCGTTCTTTCGAGGGTCAACGCTGCGTGAGTGGCCGGTCGCCGGCCGTTTTTGGACTCGGGCCTGGTGGCAATCTTTGGCTCAGCGACGGTCCATAGCAGGAATTGACCCATGCCATGCTTCGAAGCCAAGGGTGACCAGTTCTGATGCTTGGATCGAATGAATAAGTATTTTCTGCATCTAGTGCTCGGTGCTTGCAGTGTGGAGTGCAAGTGCTTTGTGAGCCAACTCAGGACCCTTTGCCGAACTGGGCGGGGGTAATGGCATGTGATGAGCGTGGTTCGAGCATGGCGTGCTTCTTCCATGGCTGCTCACCACCAGTTAGAAACTAGAACGACCGTTCTTTCCAAAGCCAGGGGCACAGGAAACCAACATTGACCGGGGACACCACATGTCAGGATCAGCTAAACCAAAGCATCCTTGTGCAATGGCTGCATGGCAACATCTCATGTCGTGAATCTGTGCACCAGACCTCAGGTCGTTCCTTTTTTTGCATTTGACCTCAGGTTGGCCTTGCACTGAGCCTGGTCGCTCAAGGTTCCACTGACTCAAATCACCTCTTCCTCTGGAAGGAGGGTGAGGAAAGGCGGGGCCTTCACCTGGCGCCTTTCGGGCGGACCCCCCCACCCACCCGACTCAAATCAACTCTCCTTATACGACACCCGGCTCGTGGCGCCCATCGGACCAAGTTCGGGTGCCTGGTGCGACGCGACGTCACTAGAGACAGTCGCCACACCAGAGTTGGACGGAACTTCCTTCACCCTTCGATGTGTGTATTTTTTTGGTTGAAAGGACCCGGCGACTGCGTCACCGGGACGGCGTCGTCCCACCGGTCGATGTCTCGTCGGGTGACGACCCGGCCAGGTACGAGACCCTGGTGGCCGTCATTGGACATCATGGCAGTTGTCAGCCCATGTGTTCAGAGAAGCGAACGGTGGTGGTTCCACCCAACGTCTTTTACAAGGTGACACGCACGAGGGAGGGATGGAGATTGAACACTGGGGTTGTTTTTGGTGCGTGAAGAACTGGTTCAAAAGAATCGGATGGAACATGTTTAGCAAATCATGATGTACAGGGGTACTTGCTCAACAAGCAGCCACGCTACATCTGATTGTAGATTTTTAGTCAAGGGGTCAAGGGGGGCAGTTTCTTTCCTGCTTGGCATGTTCTTGACTGAAAGCCAGTGGCCTTCTTCCTGTGTTTACATACATGGGGCCCCAACTAACAGCGAACTTCTATGACTGGCTGAACCAGTTGAGCGCTCCAGGAAACCCGGGCCCAAAGCGCCCAACTGAACCTGGACCATGGGACGTTCACTTCGTTTCATACCTGTGATATGTCGTGACATATTCAGATTTTTATTTCAAAATATTGACCACCAGAACTGGCTGACAGGTCAAAGTTGAAGTTGCACAAGTCGACATGCACTCAAAGGATGAGCAAGTTGAAGTGAAGGCGAGCAATGAGCAATGAGCGGCTTGATCACTTGCATGTCATCCCTGGTTTGAGCATTGACCCTTGTTTGCTGCATAGCCACAGGTTGGGGGCCAACAAGTACTCTGCAGCCCCAAAGTTGCATCTGACTACAACTGCTCTTTGGTTGATGCTTGTCCGTATTCGAGCGTCTTTCGCAGTGGAAAAAGTGTGGGAAGGGTGCAAACCGTGCGAACATCACGTGGATGTCATGAGTCGGAAGATGTGAGCACAAACGCATGCAAAGCAGCAGTTGTTCATTGGTTTTTCTCCAACTGCAGGTCCCTCGGAGAATCTCGGACGTCTCCGAAGGGACCGCGTCCGGATGCGCCGGCCCGAAGGGGTCCTCGCATCGGGGAACGGGTTTGGCCGTCCCCCCTTCGGGCGGATTGGGCCGTCCCAAGGAGTGCTCGCAATTGAACTTTGGCCGCGTGGTGAACTCCGAGCTTCGCATTGAGGTGGAAGCCCGGAAAACACGTGACTGAGACAGCGGAGAAGGATGGGGGAGGGGCGTGGGTTTTGGAGGGGCGTGTTCTCTTTTGGTTGGTGGGAACAAGACATGCACTAGGTGGGACAACTAAAGGTCACGAAGAGCAGACCGGGCGATGTTGCTTGCAGAGTAGATGGTCGTGGGGCCCCCTCTGCGCATGTCTCGGCCGCATGTTTCGGCTCGCTGCGTCCGGAACGTTCGGCCGCACCGGTACACAAGGTGAGCGGGTGGTATTTGGACGGACATGTGATATGTTTTTAACTGATTGCCCTACAGGTGAGTCAGTTTGACCTCATGAAATACTGGAGTTGGTCATACAAAATGCTACTCCAGGAGGTAACAGTCCAAGCTTTACTGAGTTAGACTTTGACTTGTAGGGATTGGAATGTTTTGTTCGTTCGATTGCAATTTCCTAGGTCAAAGGCAGGCCGTTCATTCTGTTATAGGGTGTCGGTTGATCTTACCCTAACATGCCCTGACCACCGTGCGAACAACATCAAATATATATATATATAGGGTGTAGCCCATTACCAGTATCAGCCGGTAAATGATGTAAATGATTATCACATATTATCACTATTTTTGATAAAGGCCTTGCTAACCATCATCATCCACTGTTACTGGTCATGGGATATACCCAAGATATAAATGTTTTGAGACATGCATTTTTTGTCATCCAGCTGGATCAACCGATGAACGACTGAGGTGATACCTGCAAATGCAGTGTGGATCCGAAGGGAGATGTCGATTGCTACAGCCAGCTTCTCTCCGGCTTGGATCCAACGCCCCTTAATTAGATTTAGCGAAGATCACAACAGATTACGACAGCACTGAGTGGTTTGGTGATTTTTTTTTTCAGTGACCAGGGACAGAATCAAAGAGATTGAACTCACAATGAACTGATTGTCTAGCTTCTGAATGTTGCAAGGTGTTCAGTTTTGGACGTTTGTTTGACACTTACCTCAATATCCTCAATTTTGCTTGATCTTCCGCCTTTTGCAAAGCAGCAGTTGCACCTCAGACACCAGGTACGGTGCCCTGGTGCGCGTGATCTTTGAACCACAGGCAGAGATGTCTTGAACATCACGACTGAGAGAGCATTTTCTACTTTTTAGATCTTTTATCATTTCTGGTATTTTCTAGTTGGTGCTTCCTTGCTCCAGGCCCCTTAGCCACGAGCGGCCACGGCCACCATCTCCGGATCCACCATCTTTCCATCCTTTTGGCCCACCGAACTTGCCCCCCAAACCCAAATCGCCTGAACCATCAAGCGCCAACAAGTCAAGCTCCTGCGATGCGATCCCAAACGCGTTCACCGCCCATTTGACCAAATGCTCATAATGAACCAGCACCACCCAAAGGGTGGTTTTATAAACCACCCCTTTCGAATCCTGAAGATGTATTTAACATCCAATAACCACCCTTTGGGTGGTGCTGGAAGGTACCATTTTTACCAAGCATAACATCCATAGACTGTAGGTAAGACCTTCACCGCGTCACCCGACCTGACCGTCCGGATCCTCGACCCACTTGAAGACTCCTCTTTTCGGCGTCCTGAAAACCGAACCGAACGGTAGGTCCGAGCCGAATGGCGCACTGGAAGCTGGTCGACCTGCAACCAATTCGACTGCGCCGGGCCGCCCACCCGCGTGGCCACCCGCACCGCGCCTCGGGGCACGTGGGACGGGGGGGGGCCGGACGCCGGAACACAGCGGACGCGGAACGGAGCTCCCGAGGTTGGGAGATGCATTGTTGAGCGGGAGGCATTGAGCCGTTGGCGAGTCGTGGGCTTTGGCCCAAAATGGGGAGAGCAAAAGAAGCAATAGATGACCTCAGCCCAGGGCCCGGGGTGGGTTTACCGGTGTCACTAGACTTTTGGTCAAATTGGACCCAAAGAGGGATTGGGGGTGTTGTTGCTTTTTCACCATGGGTGTCCAAAACCGCAGGGTCCCCATCAGAATTGATTTCGACAGGGACACTTATTTGTACTGCGCAGCTTGGTCTCATCAGGGGCTGAATTCTTGACTTTACACTTGGAAGTACACTTGGTTTGGAATCATCAGAGGCACAGAACGGCCAAGATCTACAAACGGAAAGGTTGTTTAAACATGTTGTCATGACTGGTCAATTGTGTTGAATTGAACATTCCTCAACCAGACCACCTTTGCGATCACTTCTGATGTACAATAGATTCAATGGATCTTCATTCAACCAACTACTAGAATTCTCATGCATTCTCTTGGCATTGCCAATGCCCAAGAACAGCAGACACTATGTTTGATTGGTTATGCAATGACAAACAATCACCAAAACACCACTACAGACCATCCACCAAACCAAACGCCACTTCCATCCACTCCCCCACCATGACCGCTGCGGTTCGTCTGGGCATTCCCCATGGGATCCCAGGTGCAATGCCGGATCTTCGATCCGGACGACGTGGGCGATGGGGGATCCCGCTGTACGGCTCCTGCACCCGAAGCTTCCAGAGCTTGCACAGAGGCGGTCGCCGGTGGCTGGATCGTTTGCCATGCCTCACGTTGTCTCTATGCTGATCTCGCGTCTTTTTTTGGTTTCTCGCGATCAGCAGAAGTTGTGAACCATTGTCATCCTTTGATCTGCCGAAGACGAGGCCTTGTCGCCATGTTTTTTGGTTTTCGAGGGCTGTGGGTCCGGTTTGGGCCAGCACTGCTGTCGGAGAGCCGTCCAACCAAAGTCCAAATGTTTGTTGCAACGAATGACACATCCATGGATGATCCGGCTGCAATGGAAAACCATCATAGACCCCAAACAGGAAAAACACGCCGAGGAACAGTTTTGGTGTTGCAACAGCTGTGCAGCTACAACATGGCCAATAGGCTTAACAGTCAATCAAGTGTTGACAAACGAGACAGCCGAAGCCAACTACTGAGACAGCCAGAGACACCACCAAAGAGACGGCTCAAGCAACACAGCACAGCCATCAGAGACATCGCAAAAGAGGCGATCAGAGAACCAGAACCAGAACCGAATGCGGAGACCACCTACCATACAAAGCACCCTTTTCAAAGGAGTAAGAACCTCACCAGGTAAAGCTGTTCTAAGCTGCTTGGGGAAGAAGGCCCTGGCGTCACGTGTCGCAGCCCTCAAACGGCACCGCCGCAGGCCCCTGAGTGTGTACCTCCACCGCGATGTGACTTGGAGCAGCGAACAGCAGTTGTCCTCACCTAGAACTAGAACTGTGATACACTCCCGGAAAGTATCGAAGCGGAAAACCACCTGTTTGTAGAGGAAAACGATCATTGAGTGTATCACTCTCACACTCTACGACGACTCTACCTCTACGAGTCTTGTACTGGAGAGAGACGATAGCTGACCGGCTGGGTATGCAAGAGTCGGAAGGAAGACTTTTTGGGTGCACTAATTACTGTGCTGTGATTGACAAGTGGAGTGGCATAGAGATGTACGCAATTCTATGCTGGCAAGTTGGATCAAATTGGCATGTTCAAGCATGTTCATGCATTTATGATGAAGACTCCATCGTTCTTCATACACTGGGGATCACTCGGGATAGTAAATTTGGAAAACATTGGGTAGATCTTTCCAGAAATCATTGGATGATCCACCGAAATGGGGAAACCTCTTTGAATAACCCAGCAGTCACGTTCGACGGGGTGCGATCCATGGAGGTATCTGGGGTGCCCCCTGTCACATCCACTCACTTCGGGACCAAACACCACCCCAACATGTGACTCCTGGACTGCTCCTTGGACTTCTCGCGCTCCGGACGTCCTGTGCTCTTCTCGTCGATGAGAACATCGATTCTCCGTCAGGCCACGGTTGCTTCTCCGTGGCACACCTGGGGGATGTGGGCCTGAATTGGAGTGTGCCTTGGAGTTGAAGTCTGAATGCACCGCTTCTCCAGGTCAGCGACTGAAAGGAAGACAGGTCAGACACGTAAAATGACTGGAAAAGGCACCGAATTGACATCTATTCACTGAATTTCACAGGTATTCGGCATCTGTTCATTGTTTAAACATAGTTCCAGACAGACGACATCAGCGACTCAGACCACCAGGTCCGGTGTTTCACCTTTATCTGGTCGATCGCCGATCGCTCAAATCGGGCGGTCGCGTATCGCTGGTCTTCGCTCGGTCCAGGCGATTGTGATGCAGGCTGGGTCTCAAGTGGTGGTGGCGGGACACGGGCAGCCGCTGCAATTCGAGCCCCCCGGCACGGTTTCAACCACCGCCGAGCGGGCGAGCGGGCGGAACCGTGCGGAGGAAGCCTCCGCACTGGCGGACCGGGGACCGGTCCTTTCCTGCTGGAAAATGATGGACATGGTATGAACTGGTCACTTAGGGTAGAAAACATCTCAATCAACTGTGGAGGTTCACTATGAAGTAACTCCCGAAGTAACTCCCGATCCTTGTTTTCTCTGAGGCTTCTTTCTGGCCTGGCCCACGTCAGCTGCAGCGCCGCCTTCTTCACGTTGCCCCAAGACCTCGCGGCCGCCACCGCTCCTGGGGAGCCGAAGAGAGACGCCGCGAAAGGAGGAAACGAGCGCGAGGGAAACGTCTGGAGTCAGTCCATCAAAAAGGGCGGTTGACTGTAGTCTTGACACATGGTTGACTGTAGTCTTGTGTGATCTTGTGTGTGTGTGTGTTTTGGATGGGGCTCTGTGGAGTCCCAGAGAGAGAGAGAGAGAGAGAGTGCAGAACTGAGGCCTGCGTTTCTTTGGAGATTTGTGGTCAAAGAGGGCATTATCTGAGCCGTCCTGGTCCTGGCACTGAGTTTCATGCGTTCGATGACCTCATCCTGTCGGAACGTGATAGCAGTAGTGCCCAGTTCCGCATGCAAGCCACCTTTCATCTACGCCGAGTGGCCACGGCAGGGTATGTCTTGGCTGATCCCTACACCGGGCAAACGAGTCCCTCCTTCGTTTTGGCGCCCCAGTTGCCCAGCTACGTCGGGAGCCCGGTGATGGGACCCGCCAACGAGACCTGCTCCTTGGGGTCTCCCAGCTCTTTGATGCCTCCCACCGAGCTGTGCCACGCGTCGGAGCGACACATGACCTGCCCTGATCTCACGGACGGGGTCTTCGGGCGTTGCTGCGCGCCCGATGACTGCCCTGCGGGTGCCACCGCACCGGACTGCGAGGAGAAGCCAGGACTGGCACTTCTCACGCAAGGGCGATGTGAAGATGTACACTGCTCACCCATTGAGGAGCGTCTCTTGATCAGTAGTCAGTAGTAACAAGTGCATCGCTACTAGTAACAAGTGCATTATTACTGGCAAATATAGTGACTAGTAGCTTCTTGCTACTAGTAGCGATGCACCTTGTTCCTATATAGTATATAGCTTCTTGTTATGTTGAAATCTTTTTGGGTGGTTTGGGGCGAAGAACACTTCACTTGTTGGAGAAAACTGAACGGAAGGGAATGTGTTCCAGGCATACAAAGCCATGTCAGATTGCGACCATTTGTGACATATATATAATATACACATACATGTACATGTAATTCATTAAGAGAACCACCATGCAACCTTTGACCTGGTCCACTCCCAGTGAACTCTCAGTCGATTTCGTTTCGCTCAGGTGATGAGTGTTTAAAGGCAGCAGCTGCACTGGGTTTCTCGCAGGACGTGACGCTGCAACTGCGCCTGTCGCGCCGTTTGCCGAGCTTTTGCTCCTGGGAGTCGCTCGGGACCGCAGGCGGAAGGGAACGAGTTCTCTTTTTTGTTCTCCCTTTGGATGCACCTGGAGAGCAGATCCAGACGTGTTTTACTTTTTTTACTCTATTTTATCATACTGTTTTGGAGTAAGTGTTCTTCAACTCTCAAACACATCAAAAAACACCACAAAACACCTATATGAGAAACAGGTTCAGACATGTCCATTGTACAACTCTACACCTCCCTCAGGCTCCTTAGGACTGTTGGCTCAAATACAGTTGGAGTTGAGCAAAGACTCAAGACTTTTGAGGGAGTCAGTTGTTCTGCAAGAAAGTTCTGACAGAAACATAGTAGTCGTAGTTCTGCCACAGTCATATATATATACATGTTTTTTGTGTTTTGCAAGAAAAGAGTCTTGCAGGACTAGTTGGGTGGTACTATATAGACTTTGAGTCTAGTAGCTGTACAACTTGTACAAGCAAGAAAGTGCCTCCAAGTGGCCTGAGGTTTACGACGGCTGACAATGGCTCTCCAGCTCTTTGGCTGAACAAATTCATCACCAGCGGCGAGGCCAGTGCCGCCAACCCGCAACTCTGCCGCTGTGGCCAAGCACGGCCCTTGCGAAGATACCAATGGCATGTGGGCGAGTGGAGTCTTTGCAGCCGCTCCTGCGGTGGCCTGGGCCAACCGACGTCCCCGTCGAGAGAAACCCGGGTTGCTGGTGATGGGTTGGCTCCCGGTGTAAACTCCGATCCTCCAAAGAGTTGTAGAGTCCTCCAAACAGTGGGGGAGAGCCCTGGTTTCATTGGATTAACTGGTTGGCAAAGGTGGCCCTACCACTTTGGGTCTCCTGCCACGCCGCTCATGTTCTCTATGGTGTTCGCTTCAATTCGCTTCACCTTGTGTTGCGGAAGGAACCCTTGACAAGAGAGTCTATGCGAAGGGGGTCAATTCACCCCAGAGTTGAAAGACCATTAAAATACAGGTTGTCCGGTTGACCTAGTTTTGTAGTCTAAAATCACTTTTAATATCTTTTGATCCTTATTGACTCAACTTAAATACCAATATGTAATATCATATAAATCAATCATGATCGGAATTGTAATCAGTTTGCAAGATGTGCCAGCCCAAGGTAAGCAAAAGCGATACAGGCAGGTCAGCTGCCATGAGCTTGTGGGCATTGCCACGACCGATCCAGATGATCTAGGCGACGTGCGCCAGTGCAGAAAGACCCCTCCTCAAAAGATAGACCATGTTGCAAGAAGTATAGGATCTATTTGAGCCACGACCCAAACCGTTTGCTGCGCCGACAGACTGCCCAGCGAGAGGCGTTTTTGATATTTTGGTGTTCACCAACCCATGACAGACTGGCCAGTGTGCTGATCCCAAGACAACACTACTGGATACTACTGGTGTGTGTTGATATGTGTATAATATATATATATATTATATGTATATATAACAAATATCCAATTATATTCATACATATCCTATTTCGGGCTTTGGCTTGGAAAGCCGCTTTCTTTCAGGTCTTTTCGAGACAAACAACCTACAGCAACGTCCCATACCTTCATTCCTTCAAAGAAGACTTCCATGGATTGAATGATATGAGAGAAACACACTACAATCAAATCATTCATGATTCATGACTCAAACCCAGTAGATTGGCTTCGTTCTTCCATCGTTTGTCGCATCACACATTCCCTTCAGCGTTCCGGAGTCGAATTCAGCGCAACAAATACGGGCTTGGAGCATGCTGTTTGGAGGAGAAGGTTTTGAAGTGGTGCCATCCATCAAATGCCGCGAGGCCGAACTGGAGGCATGGCCCAGAGTGAAGTGGTTCTGAGACTCCGAGTCTTGTCTCTCTTTTGAGTGGAGTGTGGAGTTCTTCACGAAGAGATGGACTGGATTTTCCCGATCTCGTGCCATATATACACCCCCATGTTCAGGCTCATTCATTCACGCGAAGCTTTTCAGAAAAGCTCCGTAGTCATGCTCAGCACAGCCAGGAGCCTTCTGCATCCGAGCATTGCAACTTGGGTCCAGCAATGTCCAGCATTCATTGCGCGTCAAGACGATGAGTGCTTCCGGTTGGGTTTCAGCTGACTAGTTTAGGTTTTAGTAGGTTACTGTAACATAGGCGTCCAAAAGGTTCTAAAAGCGCGGAAGTTCTTCTTTGCCATGGTCAGCATCGAGTTTTCTGGATGTTTGGTTCCAAATCTTCCATTTTTCCTCTCGCACTCTTCCCTACACGAATCTCACATGGACACATTGAGGAAAGGGAAAAGGGATCTGGCTTTTCCAGGCTCAACACCTGAATGCTGGACGGCGGAGCAGTACACGCGTGACTTGGCGGTTGCTGAGAAGCGGAGAATCCACCCAAATCCAGAGGAATCCAGGCAGTTTATTATAGCATTTTGGGATGAAGAGAAGATATTCTGGTCTTCCTTCTTCCTCTTCCTCACCTACCACCATCCACCAACTGTTCCAAATGATTCATTTGGACGAGCTACCCTTGTTTCCAGCCTTTTTGGGCCCACCAGCCACCAGCCACCGGCCACACCCTTCTCCTGCTCCACCGTCCACATTGGTCCGGCACGGAACCTTTCGAATGCCTCACAAGGCTGTGCTGGCAAGGACAGGTTCTTGGAGGCTTCCGAACTCGAGGGCAGTGGTGCTTCACTGGTCACGAGCCTCGGACGCCAACAGCCAAAAGCGCCTGGCGCGCCACTGCCGCTGTCGGTGTTTCTGTGTCACTTTCTCAAAATAGGAATGTCGGACAGGCTGCATGATTTAAGCATTGCTGATTCAACTCGTCCCTTTCAGTTCTGCCATGTGTATCCATGTGTTCTCATTGATTGCAGGATGTGGCCGCCAGAAACCATGTGAAGCTTTGGGAAATCCCAGATGACCCATGCCCCGTGACCCAGGAATGGCAATGGCACGGGGCCGGCCCACTGTGTGACCATGAATGCTTCCTCCGTGGCTGCTGAGAGTTCTGCCACTTGAAGCCGGAGCTGCACCGAAGGACGTGGTCGTTGGGTGTCATGCCTTTTCCATCTCGGTTCGCCTTTTCTTTGAGGTTTCGACATCTACTATCTACTTGGTCACTGTTTTCTTTTTCAGCATCGTTTTCATTCGTTTGCACCACCTGGACGGCCTGGGTGCGGCTGATTTAGATCTTGAGCAGCATAAGCATGAGCCCATGTGGTTCATGCTTCAACACCCTCTGTTTTTTTTTTGGTAGAAGAATGTATCACACCCCAGATGTCTACTACTTCCACCTCCACCGGTCACGGTCGCACTTTGAGGCCGTACCATCTACGCCGTCGCCGCTGTCGGACCTCGCCGCCGCGGCGGAGCTCTGTCGGAGGATCTGCGGCCAGCTGGGCGGCCGCTTGGGAACACGAAAGGGCAAATCGGTGGGTCGATACCAAGGTACATCCAGGCACCATGTTTACCATCATGTGGGTGTGTATTAAACATAGGAAGACTTCAGCAGAGCGAAGCGCAGCGGCTAAAGTGAAAGAAAGAAAACGGTTTTCCTGAAGGCAAAGTCGAAGGCGCTCTGATGGCACAATGCAGTCCTATGCCACTGTATGGCAATTCAAGGGCCCCTGAAGCCCATATTCATCAACAACTGACATGTCATGTGGTTCATCAGTGTTCTCAACACACAGTTGTTGGTGCTTTGCGTTCTCTACTGTCGGCAGTGCGGACCGACCCTGGTGAGACCGCCGGCTGAGGTAAAAGACTTGTCAAAAGCCACACTCCACAGCCCTGATTTCAAGAGCCTCAGGCTTCAGGAGACGGATCCTACACTCCGCCGTCTTCTTCGTGAAGGCACCACCCAAATCATAGTCGCTCGCAACCCAGCGCAGCTCGGAGGTGGCCCGCAGCAAGGCTTCTCGAAGCTGAAGAGCTTCTTGAGTAGCAGCGGGCTCTCGCTGTAGAGGAAGGTGTCATATCCGTCGCAAGGATCCCCTCCACCAGCCGAACCATGTAGGTGACTTCTCAAGGAGAGCGGCTGGTGGTCCAGCAGCAGCATTACCCTCAGCCACCATGTGCTCAGCAACATGAACTTGGCTTCGGATTCAGGATCAGGTGTGAGCTCCTGAGCGAAGTCTTCATTGGCTTCCGGCCACGCCCATTCATCAGCTGGTTGTTCAGCCACGCTTGGTGCCAGTCACCAGACCAGCTTTCACCTCAATAGGCGTCTTGCCAGTCACTATGATTATCTTACCCATCAACTTGCAGTCTTGATAAGACCAAGGCTAACCATAGCCATCTCAAGCCAAGATCAAGGTGCCCATGGTCTTGTGAGGACGCCTTGTGAAGTTGAAGTGCTGGGCAGATGGCCGCCGTGTTCGGCAATGATTGCCGCACAAGAGGTGAGCCACCCAATCTTAGAAGATCTCTATTGCTCCATCATTCGCATTCGTGTCAAACTGGACATGGCCAGAAGTCGAGCTGGCCCAGTCAGCTTTGGTTGCACAGTAGCGCGCTCATGGCGGGGAACAGATTGTACCCACCGCGCCACTTGTTCCGTCCCACTGAGGGATCGTGCCGTTCTCCTTCTCGGCCATTGTTGCCTTGTCAAAAGGTCAGGATGTTGATGCGCCCTTCTGAACTTCTCAGACCAGGGGGGCCAAGACTCCAAGACGAGATACCCCAAAGCGAGGGCAAAGACCCTTAGCAACCAACCAAAGGCCCAGGGAGCTGCGTCACCAAGGCCGCAAAGGACGAGACCTCCGCGGTAGGGAGCAAGGCCCCGGTTGAAAACTTGCCCCGCTGCCAACGCAGCAGAGCGAAGCGCAGCTGCAAAAGCGAAAGAGAGGAAACTGTTTGGCAAAGTCGAAGGCGCTCTGATGGCACAATGCAGTTTTATGCCACTGTATGGCCAACTCAAGGGGCCCCTGAAGCCCATAGGCCATGCGCATAAGTTCATCAAAAGCTGACATGTCATGTTCATCGGTCTTCTCAAGCACTGAGCACTGCAGAGACCTCCTCGGCAACGACCCCCTAGAAGAAATCCAAATCCATTGGGCCAGGGAGTCTCCCTATTGCTGTAAATTACACGATTTATTGGCTCACGATCCGGGTATCCCTTTTCCATCAATGAAACAAAACATAGTAGAAGCCCATCTATGGAATGGGGTGAGGAAGAACGCGCACTCGCGACGGGCGAGCGGAGACACCTCAAGAACAACACCTACAATGGCAAGTAGCAAGCGGATCGGTCTCTCCTTCCTGAGCGGTGGGGACACCTCAGATTTCCGACCCTGCTGATCCTTTTTGGGTCAAGCATGGTAAAAATGAGTTCAGAATTGCAATGATGAGGCTGTTGCCAGGTGCTTCAAAGTTCACCAACGAAGCCGGTAGGTCACCCCTCCCAAATTTCCACACACCGAACAAAAGCTGGAAAAGGGTACCACTTCTACTTTTAACAGTGCTTGAAGTGCCATGCTGGACTCAGAGACACGATGAGACACGAACCGTTTCTTGGGGGCCATTTTGCATGTAGCTGCACTGTGCTACTAGTAGCATCTCCTACTTCTTGGTGGGGTTAGGACAGCCCGATGAGAATGCTTGGTGGTAGGGTAAACCATCTGCTGTGTTCACAGATTTGTTGCGCCAAGGCTGTGTCGGCTTTACCTTCTTCGATCATGTTTTTGGTGATCCCAATGTGGTTCAGTGCTGCTTCCTGCGACTCGCAACGCGCTGGCAGCCGAATTTTCGCCGGGCAACCTGTCATTTGGCCAGGGGTGCGCAGACCAGAAGCGGATGCTTTTGCCAGGCGGCATAGAAATCTTTTGGCTCGTCAACACCAGTGAACTTTAATGGTCCCCTGTTTTTGACATTTAGGACATTGTCATATTCGGCTTTCCATTTTGCATCCCTACTATGATGGCCCCTGATTGACGATTGATGCTCGCACCAAATCCAACCTTTGGCCAGGTGGGTTGGGAAATCGCGGACGGCGGTGGCTCCATGTTCTGTGGCGCTCAACGTCGGGGATGCTGCACCACACCCGACAATGGCGCGCGATCATGGTGTCCCACCACATCACCAAGCTGTGGCACTCAGCCACTTGGAGGATCGATGCATCAAGGAATTGACTCAACCATCCCAAAACAATCGACATTCAAACCCGTAGTAATGTAGGCTCTTGATTCAAAACCCCAGCCCTTATTTGGACTCAATGTCTTTAAATCCTCTTTAAAGGGCGGGTTTGATGAATCAAGAGTCTACATTACCTCTTGCAGCGGTCCGGGGCAAGCCTGGTGGACACCGCAAGGGAAAAGAAAGGACTACATGGTCCACCAAGCAGGGTTTTGACACCCTTTTTTCCCTATAAGGAAAACAGAAGTGCGAACTGGGTATGGGTATAGAACAACGACATGCTGATTCAAGTCGGTGCCATCGAGATCCTTTCAAGTGCAGCTCTGAAGATGAACCAAGTATCCTTTCGAGCATAATATATTATATCAATAACTTATATCCCCATATATGTAGTGTTCCTATCATAGTGGTAGTGTGGTACTCTGGCGAATATGGGAGGGTAACCCGAAAAGACACCCCGGCAAAAGAAACAATTCAGACCATATTGGATTTTGTGTGCCAGCAGAACATCAGCAGAAACAATTCCTTGTGATTCACCCATGGTGGTATGTGTTGCACCTCTTTGTTCTGTGCCTTTGCCGAAAAGAGAAGTGCAGATTGGTGACGGAGATGGTCGGATCATCCGTTGGGGGTCCCCAACAGATCACCCAGGCGACACCCCGATGGGATCCGCCAACCCTTCGAATCCAATTTGTCCGAGGCTTCGGAATCAACAGCATTCCGACTTTTGCGACCCCACCGGTGTAGCAGCAGTTTCAGAGTACACCTGTCGTCGAGAGCTTAGTTGAGGGGATCACAGGATGGCCAGAGCATGTTCTCATGATGTTTTCGGTGAATGGGTGGTGGAACACCACTCTTCCTGCGACTTTTGAGGCACTCACCCTGGCATCAAAGGGCGTCAGTGTGCTTCTGCTCGAGGCATCTCAGCTCCTTGGATGATCACTCTGGGATCTGGGAGTTGCAACGACAAGAGCGCCACGAGAGTCTCCTCCTTGATCTCCCAAACAGCTTGAACATGCTTTTTGATGGTCTTTGTTTGCACAGTTTTCCTAGGAGATTCTGGACACCAGATGATGACACAAGTCAATGACATACCAGTTGTTTGCGGGAGTAGATGGCACAAGGGCCCCCCAAGTTTGATCTTTTAAATGGACGGCAATATATCAAAGACATCGTTGTGATCGGTTTTGTTCTCCATCTACTCTACTCTGAAACCACTGTCTTTGCTCTGTTCCGACTCCGGAGCCGGACCGGCGCCGATTCATGACGGTGTCTTCCTCAGGAGTGCAACCAGATTGCCACGGTGCTGGGTTTGCCGGACACAACTCCACAACTGACGTGGCCTCGTCGGCAAACAGAAAGGGATTGGGAGGGTGTCTTTTTTTTCCCCTAATTGTTTGGCTCGAAAGCGATGTAAAAAAAGCATTGAGAATCACTGAGACGTGTTTCTTTTCTTTGCTGCATTTGGATTGGCTGGTTTGAGGTTGGCTATGGACATGCCTTCAGGCTGTGTATGGCAGAGGGCTACATCCCAGCAGCTTGGACTTGCTTCAACCGGACCTCCCCGTCGAGGCGTTCTTTGGTCAGCCGGTTCGGACAGTCGGACAGTGCGGTCGCGCTGTTTCAATCTCAGGTTGTGGCTGAACCAATTGGTGGACGCTGTGAATGGATCTGATAGTCAGAAGGCTGGAGACTGGAGAGCATCAATGCTTTTTTGTTTTGTGTGTGTGTGTCTTTCATATTCACACACACTCACTTCTCCCTCGCTCCCTCACTCCTTCTCACCTTTGTGCTTCGGTAAAGCTGGCCGCTCACTCAGTGTAAAGAAGAACCAATGCCCAGTCCGCAAGAGCTCAGTCTTTCGGAAAGGTCCCCTGGCTTCAACGGGTCGCGTTGGGCGAAACCACACTGGTCGAACCCAGACCCTTGTGACTGGCGCGGCGCCAAGCAGGTCAATATGATTGCATCTGAAGACATGTCTGAGCTTTGCTCTTGTCCTCGAGCCGAAGAGTTCTACTGGGAGGCGAACATGTGTCACTGTGCAGGGGAGAAACCTTTGCTGGGGAGTAGAACTTCACTGAATTTTTGTGCTCTTGAAGCATGGAACCTCTTCAAACAGAAAAGGGCCAGACCATATTCCCAGCCAGTGCTCTGCCCAGCAATAGCGATGTCACGATGGAGAACCCTCGGGCTCCGTTGGGAAACACAGCTCCGCAGCACCGCGCAGCTCCGCACCTTCAGGTGGAAGAGTGGAGACCATGCTATCGCATCACGAGCGCGAATTGCCAAGGGGCCGGGGTCTCCGGTCTCGCAAACGACCACCAAAACGAAAGGAACGGTGGTTCCACAGTGCCACAAGTCTGCCACCATGTCTTCTCATCCAACTTGGATTGAAACAACCACATCCTAAGCATTCCTAAGCTTTGCTTTGGTCACCTCGGCGACCGCGATCGCGATGCGTTGGTCGTCAGGGTGACGTCGCCGTCTCCGTGCCCGCTCGTCCCAGGCCAAGCAGCGCACGCGGGCCGTCTACTGCGTCCGAGCCGATGCTGGCACAGGGGAACGGCCTCAGGTGGGAGACCGGGTGGGAGGCCTCGGGTCGGACGAGGAGCCCCAAAGAACACCAATGGGCAAGTGCAACCCACTTGAAGGTCTGGTTTGTCACTGGTTTGTAATGGTTTGTACCAGATTCAAGATGAAAGCACAGCTCCATGGTCAGTGCCCCAAAACAATGGCTGCCTTTGGCCATTTTTGGGAGATGCAGCATGAAGAAGTCACCCTGTTTGGGTGGTCCTGTCGATCTCGGATAGTAGTGGGCTGATGTGGGCTGGGTAGTCTGACACCCAGACAGGATGGTCCTGGATGATCCTGGATCTCCATTGACTTTTGAGGCCATCGCTTCTAGGTTGGAGGCCATCGCTTGTAGGTTGTAGCTTTCGGCGTTTTGGCCGTCCTGCAGGTGGTGCAAGACTCTCTCTGTAGTGAGCGACGGCCGGACACCGTGGAAGCTTGCAGTGATTGCGATCGACAGGCATTTTGGAAGGGGCAGGGCAGCATGCGTTCAGGGAGCTCACGTATGATGCTTTCATGTTTCCTTCTCCTTTTGAAGCATCTCAACGCAAAGGGCAACTACTAGTGGAGCTCTATAGCTGTTGACCAGTTGACCCATCATCCTTCTACAGGGCTCATCATCCTCACATCGAAACCTCGAAACCTGGACTTGGCGAGTTGACGTGACGTGACGAAGGGACCGGTGACGAAGGGACCGGTGGCGCGTCAGGTGATTGCTGCCGTGGCCGAGTTCAACATGCCTGCCCCAGTGCCTGGCTTAAGCTTGCAGCTAGCTGCAGCCGGCTGTTTGGGCTGTTTGGGCTGTTTGGGGGCCAACATGGGCCAACAGAAAAGAGCTAAGTTTGAAGATCTTTGAAGCTTTTGTCAAAAGACTTGCCAAATAATGGCCTAAAAATATTTGTTTGTTGGGGTGATGGTGATGGATGGATCAAGCTTGCTTTGGTGTTTCCAGCCTTGAAATGTTCTGCTTGACTCCGGTCAGGTACCCTCCCTGGAGGCAGGCATGGGCCAATGGGTGTTTGTTCAGATTGCTTAGTTTACACAGAACAACCTGTCAACTTTACCTTTTAACCAGGGGCGATTCGGAGCCAGAGGTACAGTCTCCATATTCCAAACGACCTTGGAGCCGGACCTCGGTTTCATGATTGAATCCTGGAGGAAAGCCAATTTGCGAAGTGGTGCCAGAGCAACCTGGCGATTGCCTTGGCCCCAGAGAGCGCGTGACGGCCATTGCGCCGCATGGAGATCTGGGTTTTTCGAATCTCAGCAACCCTGCGGTTGGAAGGCGGAGGGCGAACGGGGAAAAAAGCAAGGGTTGGTTGGTGTGTATTGAACATCTATATACTCAAAACACAGGGAGACCTCTCAGGCAACGATCCCCTGGAAGAAAGAACCTAGACCAGTCATGACCAGCCACGGGCGAGAAAGGTGGTCTCCCCAATGTAGACTCTTGATTAATAACCGGATCGAAAAACCTCTTCAGATGGGGGGTTTATGAATCAAGAGTCTACACTATTCAATAGACATCCACATCGTGAGGCGGCCAACTTGGAAGATGCAGGTCGCATCAGCCGGGACGCTCAGAGACTTGGGGGGAAGATCAATTGGTCGCGCCGAAATGGCGAGAGGGGGCGACCAAATAAACCCCCAAATGGACCCAAATGCACAGAAATAGACTGCTACTGCAAGGCTTTTGAGATGTTTTGAGGTCCAGGTTTTGCCCCACACCCAAATGTTGGCCGTTCCATCAGCTTGTACTAAGCTTTGCAGACATTTTTGAGCGAGTTACGGGGGTGCCTCCAACAAACATGGTTTCGTGATGTTTCGTGGACAACCCCCTGTTTGTAAAGGAGAATGGTCTTTAGAGGGGCCATGTCGTCCACGCCATGAGAGAAGGTACTGTATACAGTATAGTCGTGACTAGCAGGACTAGCAGTGGCCTCTAGGAATCCTGTCGTTCTAACGCCCGGGTTGGCGCCCACTCGATGTCCAGACTTGTCCACAGGTGTGGGTCACCTCGATTGCTGCGAACGTGCCACCCTGCGTGTTGAAATCCGACTGTCCGATGGACCACCAGGCGGGAAATCAATGAGACAAACACTTCAGTAAATGTTCTTCCAATCGTGAAGAAGTAGAAAAAGGGAGCTGGTCCTCACCCGTCTGGGCATTTAAAGAAGGTCGCGCGCGTGAAGTGGCGGTTTTGGGAAGCCGGGATGATGCCTGCAAGGTGGCTGCAAGGTGAAGTAGCGATTCCCAGTATTGAAATGCGCGGAGGAAGTAGCAAACCATACGTGCAAACCATGCGTAGAGCATCATCTTTGCAAACCATGCGTGCACAAAACTATTGAGCATGCTGAGGGTGTGTGTCCAAGGCACTAAATGTACTCGCCGTTGATTGAAGAAAGCAGCAGTGGCAGTGGCATGTACTGAATGTTTGCTCAATGCTTTTTGCGAGCTAGACAATCTTTTGCAAGCTATTGGTGCAACATGCTTGGAAGATCTTGGAAGCATGAAATGCTGAAGGGGTATTTGAGTGTACGCTCCAAGTTGATGGAAGGAAAATGACTGTTGTATTTGCGGATCTTGCGGGGTGCTCATGCATGGTGAGAGTAAACTGGTGCTTCCCTGATCATGCTTCCGTATTCCCGTTCGGTGCCCTAAAATTCGGCACTTGATCCGATCTTTGTTCCGCTTCTCGTGTCAATCCACATAACTCTTTGCGGCATTTAGGTAGACTGCCAGCATGCAAGTTGGACCGGCTCCCGCCACGTCCGACACCGGACAGCACACTCCGGTGCCAGGCGCGCAGCGGGCGGCCGACGCCGCGGACGAGCTGATCCAGCTCTCGCGCTCCGCGGCCGACCGTGCCGAGGCGCGAAGGCGGTGGGCGAAGGAGCGCGGCGCGGAACGAGGAAGCACGGAATCACGGTACTTGGGAGAAAGATGGATGTGTGATGATGTGCAGAAATATATAGAATCATTTTGATTCATTTTTGTATTATAATACAGGAAGGCAATTGATTTGATCTAACATATATTTTAGTGGAATCAAGTTTAAGGCATCACAAGGAAAAACAGCCCGCATCTCTTGTGAACCTCAGCATCAGCCGCTGTTTTCGTCAGGTGAACTGGATCGATGATTTTGAGTCATTCATACAGTTCTTCTCGTTTCAGATCTTGGGCAGCTACTCCTGGGACAGCAGGGGACCCAGATCTTGGGATCTGATTGTGGAGGTCATTGCTAGTAGGTTGGATGCAAGTTGACGCGACCTGCCAAGCGGCAACTGATCTTCCCGTGCTTTTCCATCAAAGTCACTATCGGTTCCATTCACCCCTCATCTACATTGCATGGCGCCTTCTTTTGTCCTTTTTCTTTGGACCAATGATTCACTAATGACTCATGAAGGCCGTACATGTACATGGTCCAAATGTGAGACTGACATCGATTGACTTAGTTCTTGACACAGCCACCGACACCGTACCGACACGGTTCCAGGTGACTCCTGGAGTCACTGTAGCTGGAGCCTGAGCGGAAGTCGGGTGATCGTGCGAACAAGTGATCAGAGATCAGAAAATAAGCGGAGAAACAGTCCAGACAGTCTAGATACAGGATGTCTAGATGACAGTCCTTTCTGAGATACCATGACCATGACAAACAGGTCAAAGTCAAGGACTTCACACTTCTTCATGTTTTGTGAGGTGTTTGGGTGCAATTGGAGACTAGACTAGACCCCCTTGGCAAACATCAGCTTTTTGAAGTTGAGCCAAGGTGAAGTATGTGGAGGGGGATCGCAGACACGTGAAGTATGGTGCTCGTGGACCAACTACGAGACGGAGTTGACTTTCGGCGCAGATGTGTGTGGCAGATGTGTGGCAGGGAAGAGGCTAACTTGAGCGAGGAACAAGATATCTCGTCCTTTGGATGGAGAGTGAAGACAACTAACCGCTGACTATACGACTCATGCCACATAGAGCACATGGTAATAGATAAAGACACTCAATGTAATATAATGTAACTGGCAGCCTGGCAGACACATGTTGACAAGGCTGAATCGTTCAGCAAAGAGCCTCATCAACAAGCATGCACACCAGAGCCTGTCCCACACACCGCAAGATCATGCACAAAGCAGCGGAGGCATGCGGAGGCGACGGAGGTGGCCTGCATGTCTTGCGATTGGAAGATTGTTGATCCATCTTATGATGATTGATTCATTTAGAGGAACTTGTTACTGTATCAAGATTCTTTTGGCCAACTCCAGAAGGGGTCAAAACCTTTCCCATGGCAGCCACTCAATGTAGAGCTTGCTTATGGTTGCTTTACAAAAATGTCTCAGGACAGCGGTCGCAGATTTGCACTGCGATGCCGCCTCGCGCCCGGAAGATCAGCCCCTTGGCCCTCCAAACATCCACATTTCTAACAGGCATCGGCAGACAATTCAAAAAAAAAGAACCTCAACACGAAGGTCGGGGTGAGAAAGCTGTGAGGCCGTTCCAATCAAATTGCATCACATGTGGTACGTCTAATGTTTGCCAGTTTTGTCTCGCAGATTTAAGATGACTAAGATTCAATCACGTATATAGTATATTATGTGCTTGGTTTCATTGTTGTTTTGTTTGTTTGTCGGTGGGTCGGTCGGTCGGTCGGTCGGTTGGTTGGTTGTCCATGATGCTCAGTACATCAGTCATGTCCCAGGCGCTCTTGTGCTAGCCGACCATGCAAGAGCCCTTCGGCGACGGAGTTGGATCCGACGAGCGAGTTGGGTCGAAATCACCACTTAGTGATTGGCTGTTCAATCATCCGTCTATGAACTCAATCAGATAATTTTAGAGAACGAAGATGGACTTTGACATATATGTATATATATATATATATATTGAACATCTTTGAACACAATCGGTTTGGACTTTGTTGACCAGGGTGCGAAAATCAACGGCTGTTGACAGTTCTTTTCCCCTGGCCAACATTGAAGAGACTGGAGTCATCTTGAGTTAGCAGAGGCTGCGATGCTTTCGAAGCTGGTCCTCAGTATGTGGTATCTGGTGGTGACCAAGAGATGTCACGGCACGACGCTTGGGTGTGCACTTATGATCTTAATCTTATTTGCTCTGGAAATTTTTGCAGATTGCAGACATGTTTGTTTTGACTGTGGCAAGTCCTGGCTTCTGGATGGATGAATCTCCATGACTTGTATTAGACGAAACACGGCCGACCGAGACTTGTGTGGTAATTCACAGTAGCTTGACAAGTTAAACATGTTAAACCAAATGAGACTTGGGTGTCTGAGACAAACCGTTCGTTGAGGGTTCTCCCTCCTCCCCAAACGACCAAAACCCCACGGTTGCTGGCGATCTTGTTGCAGCCCGGTGACGCCAAACACCAACTCAACCGTTCGCTCGGCTGGTCCCCACCAACTCAACCGACCTGGAGCACCAGGAAGACACGGTGTACGTGACCTGTGCCGCGGGCTACGGTACCGTGGACGACATTCGCCTCGTGGAGTCGGAGTGCCAGGCATGGACGGATCACCGGGTTGGTGAGACGGGAAGAAGAAGACGGGCCACACAGACATACAATGTCACAGTCATACTAGTGGTCATAGGTCATGTCATATACTGACAACAATGATTCCAAACGAAGCAAACATGGTCTTTTGCAGACGCAAACATGTGCGGAGAGCGAGGGATGTTTGGGACATCACTTGGTGACACGGAGATTTTTGACCAGAAAAAGAGGGATGCAAATGACATCCCCTCATTATGGGAGTCACTAGTGGAGTCACTAAAATCCAATATACAAAGCACAGCTGGATTTGCATGTGAATCATTACTTGGGAGAGGTTTCATCCTCGTGATTTTCATTGCACCTGGCAGCTGACAGAGCACCTGGCAACAGCATGAGGTCATGGAATCATCACTTGACTTGTTGGAGGATCTAGGTATCCTCGCGCGGACCCCCTCCGCGAGGATGGAGAGTGGACTCCATTGGCCGTCTCCTGCGGACGAAGCTGTCCTGAGTTTGTTGCGGCTTCGTGGAAGCAACTGGGCTGCCGACGGGTGTAGGATCTAAAAAACCATGCATTTCTCAGACAAGTTGGGTTTGGTACCTTGAGAAATTGGTGGGCTTTCATGTGTATAGTTCACAAATGGTTTTCTTGACAATGGTCTTGACATGACTTGACCCTCATTTGCGCAGCACTTTAGGTATGAAGTCCATGGTGCTGACCCTAGTGAAGCGACCGGTTGGTCTGAGAATCACGCAACAAAAGCACTTGGCGACAGAGACCAGGTTGCGTGTTGATTTTGCCTTTCTCTTTGTCTAATTAGTTGTTCTTGTTCTTACACATCTTTCTACCACTTATAGAAGACGAAGAACAGCATTTTTCTAGAAAAAACAATGCTGCGTGGATAGTACTGGCTTGAGGTCACTAGGTTTTGCTTCGTTCCTTGCGAGGCTCTGGTGATCAGCATGGCTCCACGCGACAAGTGACATGTAAACGCAGTGTGCATCTCAGAAGCGTCGCGCCAGCTGGGTCATAGGCACCAGGATACCGAACCGATTGACGTCACCGGTGTCGGTCGCGGTCGTTCGCGACGACCAAAGCTCCGGGCTCCGGGCTCCGAACGACCGATTCCCCACTGACTGGTGCGACTCGTAGGGAATAAGGGAATGAGCCCCCAATAGAGACTCTATTGGATCCAGCCACCCTCATTCCCTGCGAGACGCACCTGTCAGCCCATCTGCCACATGTTTTTGCACCAAAACGCCGGTCAGACTAGACGGTCAGATCGACTGGGAGACGAGGTGAGACGAGCCCCAATTCCGTCGAAGCTCCGGTGTCGGCCTCTGTCATTTGCCAGGACCGCCGCCGTGAATACCGTGGGGGTCGATCCCGAACCGAAGCGAAAACAGGAAGCAACCAGGAGGTGACAGTCTTGCAGTTTCTCAAGACTTCAACTCGTTTTGGAGGTATTAAATTTGGGTCTGTCCGAACTTACCTGTAACAGTCAGTAAACAGTTATCACTATGTTTAAGCAGGGCATATACTATATATACGCACAGCGTTCGACAGAGTCAGAACCCACCCAGATCACAAGCTCAGCGCTAGGGAAAAGCAAACAATTTGGGGAATACCTACACAGAACCACAGACATAGACACAAAAGGACTTCAAGGCCCATCTCAACATCCAGGGTCATCAGGTCATCTTCCGAGTTTGGAGGCCCAACCAAGCACTCTGGCACCACCTCCCCCCTTTGTTTGGGCCCTTCGGGTCGTCCCGAGAGGATGGAGCCTGGACCAGCCCATCCTTGGTTTGCACCGGCGATTGCCTCACTCCAGAGCTGAGCAGCGCCTATGTTCCTCGGTCCGGGTTGGCGCAGAAAGCGGTAAGCAGCTGGGTTCTTTTCCAGTGAACTTCCAAGGAATTGGTTTTCTCCGACATGTCCCTTGGATGTCCTTGTTAAAATTAGGGCGTCCTTTCTTCAACCATCGCCAGTCGAAGAGCTCCATTTTGCCCGCAACCTTCCTGAGGCGGTGACTCAGTTTAATGGCACCAGTGGTGAAAACATCGTGCAGCGTGGCTCCGTGTGGCATATCAGCTGCGCACCAGGCACGACCGGCGCGCCGGTCGCGGTCACCGGTCGGGGGACGAGTGCCGTGCGTTCTCCCGCTGCGGGTATCGAAGCGATGAAAGGCCGACGCTTTAATGGCACATAGAAGCATAGAAGAGGAACAAAGTGAGGTGGAACGCCGAGTTTTCGAGTTTCCACACCCCTCCCACACCGTATGTTCTAGGCTTTGCGGCTCCTGGAGATCAAGCATCGGTGAAACTGGAGTGCGTTTGGAGCCCAGACGCGCGCTCCGGGTCATAGACCTTGGTCGCTCCGGTTGAGTCGCATGGGTCGCTTCGCCCAGACGGCGGCACAACACCGAGCGCCGTAGAGTTGGGACCTCTTCCGCAGAGTTAGGATTCAACAGCCTTTGGCATTTCACAAAGAGAGATTGACAGTAACAGTATGCAAGAACTCAAGGACCCAATGGTCAAGGTTCAAGAAGAGACCTAGAGGTGCTGCATGAGTCATGATGATTCCGATATGATTCCAGACGTAGAGTCCAGACAAGTCCAGACCATCCAAAGACTTGTTTGCCATGCCCTCGCACCCATTTCTGTTGACCGATGAAGGCACCGTGGACCCTTGGTGGCTTCACAACTGGCCAGTTGGTGGGGTTGCTTTGGTCCTCGGAGGCTCCGTGGACATTCGCAAGGTGCGCAAAGAGGTGAAGAAGCCGCTTCGAAGTCAAGATGTGTCGATTCACATCTTACATGCAACTCTTTGGGGTGAGAAGTTCAGAAAGTTCAAACCCAAAGGACGTTTTCTGCTTCTAGCTACAGAGACTTTGTTCCGCAAGAAGTATTCTTCCCTGCGCAATATGCTGTGGGTGGTGTTCGACATGTGCGAGAAACATGAACGCCAAACACCTCAAATCCATACCACCGAAATGGATTTTTTGCGGCAGTTCGGTCACTGTGAAGTCCAAGTGACAGTCGATATTACAAGAGGAGAACAGAAGCGCCGCAAGGATCTGCTGTTTGATGAAAACAGCGGGCGGTGCCGCTACCGGCCGAAGAGAGAAGTGAATGATGACTCCATGGCCGACACAAACCTTCTAGACTGTGAGATTTGGAGAATTTGTGGATGCGAAGACTTTGTGGGGTTTCCATTGCCAGGAGTTCATCCCGATGATGCCTTTTGGGATTACCTCTTTGGATGGAGCACAGATCGAGGAACCTTTCAAACTCATTCCGAGGACCGGTTGGGTTTCAACAGCCTTCCCATCAATTTCCTCTTGCGGGAAGCTACGAGTGGGAATCAGCCACAGAAACGCCTGGCAGCCATTCTGATGGTTGCAGCAGTGCAATTGGTCTCATCTCGCGGTTTTGCGCCCGTTTTCCAGCACGGCCGCACACTGGCATTTGACAGTCACACCGTTTGGGATATGACAGAGACAGCTGTCTTTCTGGATTGCTTTCTGACCGGAGGTGGAAGATGGTCGAAAGAGGCCACGTTGACATCCTTAGCATGGCAGTATGTGTTCCAGCGCCGTCAATGTGTTTGGGAGCTTCGGAATTTGGACGGGAGGACTGTCCAGGATTATCTTGACGGGGAAGTTGAGTTGCGATGGAAGCTTCAATCACTGCTGGAAGAACTCTTGCGGATCATGGACGATTTCCACCTTCGCTTGCGAGATGAACTCAAAGCTTGGTGTGAAAAGTGGAATTTGCCGCACCTGAGCGACGACCCATCAATCCTCGACGCTCCACATGGCCCCAGTGGTGAGGTTTTGGAGAAGGTCATGCAACAAGCAGCCACGAAGGCGCACAGGGTCCACACACCCGATGATGTTCCGCCATTCAACTTTGTGGTCCCTATGTGTGAGATCAGAAGACCACGTTGGCTGCGCTTGGCTGAAGAACCAAATGGCCATTTTGAAGTCCGCTTTGACGGGGACTCTTCAGCATTTGAGCGGGTCCACCGTCGTCACTTCCCAGGCAAGGGTGGAGTTCAAGGCAGAATCTTCAACCCAGACTCCCAGAAAGGAAAGAGATTACTGGCATCGGTGATGTTTCTCAACCTTTTGCTTGACCACGACCAGGACCTAGATGAGGAGGAGTGGTGGCAGTGGCAACTTCATAGATGGCACGTGCGAGAAGATCCGCAAGTGATGTACAAGTTTCAGCAATGCGCTCATGGCTCCTCGGGCCAGTGTACCATCCGTTTTCCGACGACGCCCATGGGGTTCTTTGCGCCAGGGGCCTCTTCACGTTTTGGAAAGCAGAAGATTTATGTTCTGAAACGATTTGCCACACCGGACCTCCTTGTACTTTCATCCTACATCCTGGCTGAAAGTGAATGAAGCGATGGGAACCACCTCATGCACTTCTGAGAATTGATTGAACAATTTGACGACAGTGATTTAGCGCTGCCTTGGCCATCCTTTTCAGGATCCAGCAATTTCTTTTAAACTTGGCATTGACGCGCTTAATTGGCTGTACTCTTGGCGAATTAAGCAAGGCCTCAATGACCAGTTACAGCACAGCAGTTCCGGCATAACAGCGGGATGCAGCCGGCAGGACCCGACCAGCCGGCAGTTGGAGACTGTTGATATTTCATTGTGCCGCAGCAACACTGATTGACCTTTCTTCTCTTCAGTTATATAGACTCCACATGTCCAAGTCGCTGAAATGGCACTGATCATTTCACATTCTTTCTCCGTGTGGCACAATGAAAGAACCAGAGGTTTCAAGGTTAGTTTCAAAAAGCCCGCGCGGCGGCTCTGAACATGCATGCACATCTTCGACACACATATACTCTCAGTCAATGCACTGACTCAACAACTGGGCAACTGACGTTTGCCTTACTCTAGAGAATGTCTGGTGTTTCCTTTCCTCCGATGGCCAAGGAAAGGGGAAGTTGGAGTGGCCTTGAAAACATCCCCGATGCTTGGCTCTTGATGGCTCTTCCCCGACTGACAAGCTCTCGCGGACCCGGTCCGAAAATCGTCGGTCGGTCCGGTCCGGTCGCCGGTCTCACCAGACCGGAGCCGGAAGCCGGAAGCCGTTCGGTTGGAAGTTGGGGACCAGAAACAGCTGATAGCTGTACCGCCACCGTGTCTACGTGCCGTTTTTCAGGTGACCCCCCAACACGGTTCAGACACGGCACGGACTGCCCAGTCACAGCGATTCCGAGGACTGCAAGGCGGACTGCCCACGCTACAAGCTGTCTGAGGGCTATGAAATTGTGGGCCATGGCCTTAGGTCCAGACGGATGGATCGAAGGAATGGGGATGGATGGACTACCATTGTTTTGAGAGACCCTGGATGAGTCTTGAATGGATTGAGATGAGATGGATGAGTCTTGAATGGCCTTGCAAAGCCAGGAGCCCGGGGGGTCTTGACTACGATTGTGACCAGGTCAGACCTGCCACGAAAACCGAACACGGGAAGGAGGCTTTAGACAACAGGGCGTTGTTCACATTGCCCGGGGATGAATATTGCGAAATGTTCAGGAACTTCCACAAACCGATATGGGTGATTGTCTGATTGTCTATTGACATCTATTGACACTGGATATCCTCAAGGCATCTCAAAACCCCTTTTGCGTACCACTTGTCTTGCTCGGCCCTTTGGTTGGACCTTCAACATCATACTATATATATATTTATTAATAATACCAGTACCCTTTCAAACAGGTCAGGTCTCCTCTGGTGGCTTTTGCAGACTGAAAAGTGGCAGGTGGTTTTCTCTACTCCGTTCTCAGACTACATGTTTTATCTGAAACACATCTTCTCAGACTACATTTGTGTTTTTGTGTTTTTTTTTCTCTTTCTCTCTCTCTCGACCGAAGCTCGGCCGTAGCTCCGTCGACCGATGTGTCGACACCCGAGCCGAGGTGATGAAGACGCACAGAACGTGGTGAGCTTCACCCAGTCCAAGGACCGGTCGGACCGCGCAGCGCGAAGCGACCGTGCCGGCGAAGCGGCGCGAGAGGGCGGTGGCTTCCCGGAGCCACAGGTGAGGAAGACACTGATTTGAAGTCAGTTGAGTTGACTACGTGGATGGCACCACCTGGGCCTGGGTCTTCGGATTAGAAACTGGTCATCCGAGTCTGGGGGGGGCAATGCCATTCGGGCCATCCATGTACTCCATGTCTCCTTGAACCAATGGGCTAACTAGATGGGAGCCACACCCTTTTGAGCCACAACCTTTGTTCACTGATGTTCACTTGCTGAAGCCACCTCTTCCACAGTGCGAAAGCATTCCATTTGCTTGGGCCATGTTGGGCCATTCTGCATCAGCACTTCTGGGTCGCAGGTGGATGGCATTGCGGAACTTCAGCTGCAGAAAGTGGCCCTGAAAGCCGTGGCAGCCGTGGAAGCTTTAGTCCACTCTGATTTTGGACTCCAAGTCAGCGTAACCACACACGCCAGTAGTAGAGCCACTCCCGATTTTCAGCAACATTGGGGACCAAACATATACCAACATGGCTCTGCACTCTGTTGCTCTGTTCCTGTAACGTGACACACTTCGTTCGTGTTCTGGGCGAACATTTCGATGTTGGGTGTCACCGCTCGCCGGGGACTGGGCCGCCAGCCTCGAAGCCCAGGGTGGCATCGGGGAAAACGGCTGATTTTGAAGTTCTCAGGATCGCAGTCTTCTCAACATCACAGGTGTGAACCATGGTATCTGGCCTTAGCGTCGGTGGCGGCGCGCTTTCGACTTTTTCGAGGAAAAGTTACGACCCCAAAAAAGAGGAACCAACCCCCCAAGCCTGGAGATGTCATGTCAAAGCATTCTGGAAGATGTTTCTAGATGACGATGTTTTTTTGGTCCAATCAAGCCTATACATATAGCGTCAATCATATAGTCCTCTAAATGATTCTAGATGATGAACATCGATGAACATCGATGTCACAGACGGACCAGCTTTCGAGCCATGGTCGGTTCATGGCACATCAGCCAGCACGGTGGCTCGAACTTTCGAGCTTTCGCATGCCGTCGTTTGCCTCAGGATTTGAACTAAAGGATGTTAAAGGGAACTTCTGTTAGTATTCATTATCCCTTCAAGCCGATTTCCATGTAGTTTTCGTCTATCAAATTGAGCAATTTTCCCAGCATATGTTGTTTGGTAGACCCCTACCATCTACCGTCCTAACGACCTTGTGGTGAACTCTCTCCATGACGGGCCAAGGCATCTCGATTGGCATTCGATGCGTCGACGGCTATGGACGCGTGCCGGGCGCCGTCGAACGGGTGGAGTGCCACTTGGCATGGGTGTTGTTACGATTCGTTGCCGTCGTTTCTTTCTTTGGTTTGAATGTTTTGAGACCTCCCAGTGTTTGGGAGATGGTTTTTATATCGTCGAACTGAATTTGCGGGTTGAACTGAAGAGTTGCCCTATAGTTCAATATAGATATCGATCATAATAGGATATAATAGGGGCATATACTTAGGGACATATCATGACATGTCATTTACAGAGTGCACACGGGTGTGGTACATAAGACACTCAGAGATCGAGTGGGCTTTGCGGCGCTTTTTGCTGTTAACGTTTTGTCTTGGTCCTTCTTCAACCAGAAAGCACGACCACCTCTGCCTCGGCGCTCTGTCTCGCACTTCCGAGGCAATGACGGACAATGGAGTTCGCTGTCGTTGTTTTGCGCCAAAGACTGTCGACCCTTCAACACGAGCAGCTTTGAGTTCTCCCGCTCCTTGGGCTCTCCGCGCAGCGTAGCGGCAGGACACCCTAAGACGATCGGTCAATGCGTGTGCGTGACAGATGACGTTTTTGTAGTGAGGGATCCAGGGAGGCGATCTGATGTTTGTGCAAAGATCTTTTCACTAAGTGCATTGAGATTCTACGAGCTGGGTTTTTTCCATGTTCTTCCTGAACTCCCCAGACCTCCCCAGACCCTGCCCGACCAACGACCCGCCGAGGCTTTCGGGTGATCATGGACATGTCGCGCTCGGGCGATCCGAGCAGCGAAGGGAGCTCGACGACGCCCGATTCCCCGCACGGACGGGAGAGTTCCCGAGAGGGCGGGCTGGAGGGAAATCCGGAGGGGCAAAAGAAGGGAAGGCTCTGGACTCTAGACTTCCAAACATATTGTTACCAGTATTGTATGTTAAACGTTTTTCTTTTTGTTTCTCCAGCAGTTGGGTGTTGCGGTCAACAGATTCTGATTCTTGAGGAAACTGGTAAGGCGCCATGTCTTGAGTCTTGAGGCTTGAGCTTGGCAGTCCCAGCCAAGGCAATGCTTCACGATAGATAGGGTTCGTTACCTTGATGTGGGCTGGCCTCACATGCTAGCTCGCGTGCTGGTGCCGACAAGTTCACTGTAAAGTAATAGTAATAGTATGCAAGTTTGGCGTAGCATAGCTCCTCCAACAGTTGGGCAAGGCCGCAGGCTGATACAAAGACCAGTTGCAGATTCATTTGATATAGAAAAACCCAACCGGCTCGCGCCATTTCATGGACATTCAAAGGACCCTGTTGAGTATATAAAACAATTGCTCACCAGACCAACTTAGCGGCCCATGGGGCTCAATCGAGACCTTGTAGAACCTTCCCTGCGAGAGGAAGCAAAATCATTATTGGCTGCCGCTTGGCGATAATCAGTGCTCTTGTCGTCTCTTTTCTTGACTTCTGATGATTTTGCACTTGGTATATACCTCCCCGTATTTATTTAATCTTTGGCCACTTGGCAACCTTTCAGGATATTTTGCTTCTGCAAACATGTAAATCACGCCTTCCACTTCTGTTTTCCTTCCTCAGTGCTGGTTCCGGAGCATTCCTCTGAGAGAGGCAAGCTGGATGCAGGAAGCGACAAGGAGAAGAAACGTGGAGAAGCGACTTCGCTTGAATTGGTCTCCAAGCGAACCCGGTGGACACCGCGTTGTGAGTCACACTGTGACACCTGGTGGATCAAGAATAACGACCTGGAAGAGACCCACATGGAACCTGAAGAAACACTGGTTTTTGTGGTCTTCCAAAGGTGGATGCCATCAGGTTATCTTCCCGGGTGTAAGATCTGGAGGTCTCTCTTTCACTTCTCAGTCCAAGTGACTGGCCATTGTGGACCTACTTGATGCACATATAACCCCCTTTCGTCTCCAGAAGGGTTCTACATTCTGACATCTCCAGTCTCGGGGGGCTTGATGTTGATCTAGCTGGCCTAGGCTATAGAGCTTTTCCATGCTTTCCACTGGGCCATGTCAGCCGTTCTTGAACCTTTCGACTCAAATCCACGTCCCGGCTGACCATGTCCGTCACGCCGACCGCTTCACCAGGTGACCTGCGACAACGGCCGCTGGATCTTCTCGGAACTCCGCTGCTTCCGCGACTGCGCGGCCTACGTGCCAGGGCGCCAGTACTCCGTGGCTCGGGCGTTTCAAGCCGGGCGAAGGCGATGTGGCGAGACATGGACGACTCTTGATGAATCAACCTGCCATATATCGCCATATCCTATAGGTGGCAGGCGAGAAATGTATAGACATGTAGTTAAACCATGTTAAACCCGTCCCGGTCGCCATATCCTCTATATATGAGGCGAGAAATTATAGTTAAACCATGTTAAACCCGCCGATTTTTGAATTGGACATCCTCTTCTACCCCATTCGCTTGGAGATCCGCCTGAACGAGGCCCTGTGATACCACGAACGCCACTGTAAATTTGAAATCCTCTTCATATATGGGGGGTTTATTCTACACTAAGCAGGCTTAAGTGACATGGGCCAGGCTGTCAATACAAGTTGGACCAGTTCAGTTCCACTTCACTGTAGTCCGATTGGCGGAATGGCTTCCGAGGGGCCTGAGGGTGTCAACAGGGTTCTTGTCACACGGCTTTCGTTCTTGGTGCCATGCAGGCTTCGAGGTTTCCTGCGTCCGCCTGCGTCAAGGCCGTCCTGGTCACTGCCAGTTCTGAGTTGTGGGAATCAGACACCGGCAGGCGGTTTCCGTCCAACATCAATATTAAGACTTAAGAACCGAGCAACGCTGCAGTGACGCTGACGCTGCAGTGACTTGTGACTCCGGAAGTGCGAAAAGGGACCAATGCCATCCCCCGATTGCACTGGAAGGTTGCGCAGACTGGCCAACACGAACCCAACGGTCGCTCGAGCTTTAGACAGGCTAGACGTACGCGCCTTAAACTGCTTAGTGCGATCCCTGTCACGCCCTTCGCACCATGCCAGCGCGTTTGTCTCACACCCTTCGAGCCTGCTGGAGCACTCCTCGCCTTAATTGTCATGAATCCGACCGGACATGACCTGATGAACGGTAATGCAGATCACGCAGAATTGGAGACGAATCCGTGTCATCCGTCCGTTTGCCAACCAAAAACTATGCCCATGTGTGACCCAACACTAGAACTAGGCCGCCACAACCGTTGCGGCTGCAAGTCCAACTACAAGAGCCCTCTCGCATTGACAAGAAGAATTCTACGTGATGAACTGGGATGCAGATGGACCAAAATCGGTTTAAAGTGGAAGTGGCTGAACATTGTGCAATGCTGTGAGCTGGCAGACGAAAGCACACTTTTGCCGTACACTTGAGGTCGAACACATGCATTCTCATGCAAGGATCCAGCGAAATCAAAAGCAAGCACCAGGCCTTAAACAACTTGTGCAGATTAAGCTCAAGTTCGCATACCCGGTGAAGTGGAAACGAATGCATACGAAAGCCTAGGAAAGACCTACAAGACCTGAAAAGCCATGCATGTTTCTTGCTTTTTGAAAGTTCGATATAGGCAGGGTTCATTTGCAGGTGTCATCTCCAGAATTGCTTTTCGTTGTGTGAACATGGCTTGCTTCATGACATCAGTTCGATGATGCTTCAAATTAAAGCCTTGAATTGAGGCAAACATGTAATAATCTTCCCATGCAGTGACGAAACTTGATCCCCCCGGTTTGAGGTGACAGGGCTTGTAAGTTCGGTCACATATATACGGACTCCAGGTCGTTCGGTCACTGGGAAGGTCCTGGTGAATCTCTCATTTTCACTCAGTCTGAGTTCATTGTTCACGCGGGTGAGGCGTTAAAACCGGTCTTGAGTCTTGATGCGGTTTTTCCCATCTGAGGCTTTGATCCCCGGAGCCTTGGCCTCCCAACGGAATCGCAGCGTGCCACACGGAACGCAGCTCTTGGCCACGTGCGCGCAAGGCGATTTTTCGGACTCGGACTCGTTGTCTTCGTTTCGACTTGGAATGGACCGAATGAGGTGGATGCTGAGCAGCCACACGTGTTTGTTGAGAAGCAAATCGGTGGACTCCGTGGACTGTTGATGAAACTTAACGCCTCCCCTCAGCCAGCAGGATGGTCAAGGATCTTCGAGGTGAAAGGGCGGGTTTATGACAGTTTTTTTCATCGACCATCAGAGTTATGGGGGTTAGATGTCACAAGCACTCTTGGACGACACATGATACACATGGTTCGTTGCAGGCTTCTCTGCCTTACCGACAATAGGCCCGAACGGAGGCTGGGTGTGGCGGCTAGGGATGGCGATTGGGTGTGTCCCAGTAAACGAGTACTATCACATATAATTCATCCCTTGGATTTGTCCGAACTTACCTGTAACAGTCAGGAAACAAGTATCACCATCCACTGTTACAGGCAATAGGATCGACCCAAATTCTCACTCTGTTTTTGAGATGGAAAGGCACCCACTGCAACCTAACAATCACGCACTGGGCTCAACGATCAACGATGGAAAGGCCTGCGGCCCCCTCATCCACCAGACGGTCATGCGACCTACCCAAGACGGTGACCTTCGTTTTTTCATGTTTTTTTGCTGTAAATGACGGATCTCAGACGACTGAGCCGATGCTCACAGGGACCGGCGAAACCGGAGAGAGACGGTTTGTCTTCGGAGAAGCGCGTGAGAGTCTTTCACGGCGCTTCCATGGTCGAAGACGATTCGAGTACGCCCTGGGTCACAGACCCACATGGAAGATCATGGAAGCGGTTTGAACCACTGCTTGAGCATCCTCACGTCGCTCGTCACTCAGCTAGCAGCTAGTCTTCCTTGCAGGTGCATGCGATGCCCGGTTCCATGTGAATCTTCCCGTAATGAGACATCCACTCTGGCCAGCACCAGAGACCGGTGGATGTGAAAACGCGGATGCCATTTCCGACGTTTTCTACTCGATGGACGAGTCAAGGCATGTCAAGGCCATGGCATAACAGTCAGATTCAGTCAGACAGAATCAAACCATCGTTTTGGGGGGTGAAAACATGTGACAACCATGGTTTCCTATCAGATTCTTCCTCGAAGCAAAGCAATGCATGAATATTGAATCCACAATCCCAAACGCTCGTGGAGGGGCCAGACCCAAATCCCTTGGAGGGGTCTGGGGGTTCTCACCAATCCCTGCATTTTGAGGGACGAGATGAAAAGGCTGTGAACACAGCGTCTGGGATGCTCACATGGATGGCCTCGTTTTCACCGGCCGACCCCAGACGCGCGAGTCTCAACGATGGTTCAGGCTCGTCGGGCTCGAGTCGCCGCATCACTCCAAGCGATTTGATCGCTGAGTCGGTGCCATGGATTTGCAGATGGCATTTCCGTTGGGTTTGTTGGTTTTGTTGTTTCTGAAGCAAACTCGCACTGATGTTGGTTACCTCCCGACTTCCCTGAGATATTGATGCTTTTCCGAATTGTTGGAATATTTTGCAAGACTGTCGTTCAGTGCACATATCTTCACATCTTTCTTCTCCACTTCTCTTGGCAGTCGCTCCAACTTGCCAAGGAGTGTGTGGATGGAACGTGGACAAACATCACCCTGTAACTTGGCAAGGGCAAGGTGGTATAAGGTGGTAGAACCCATCTAGCCGACGCATTTTAGCTTCTAGATGGATTTGGATTAGATTAGATTTTTGGAAGACTTTGGATTCTGAAGCCTGACTCCATTTTGGTAAAGCTTTTTCAAGACGTTCGGCATTGCTAGGCAATGCTTCGAAGATTGTCCATCATGGCCAATGCGCCAACACATGGTTCGAGACAGTGGTGGTGGCTTGCGAGTTGGTTCCTTGCTGCGCTTGGCCTGTGGCGAAAAGCCCGACATTTCCATCCGCTGTGGCATCCGAGGACAGCACATAGCAACATGATCAAACATGGGTTTCTTGTCTCTTTTTGGATGGTTTCTTTCTTGAGGTACTGCATTGTTGAATGTCCCACCACTTGTTCACTTCAGCATGCTTCAGCTGTATCACCTAAACTCCTGCTGTGCTCTCCAGGAATCTGGGAGCTATACACCGAAGGGAAAGTGGGGCCGAGGCTGACGGCTGAGACCCTTGGCGCCCGGTGGGACACCGACGTAGCGACAGGTCGACTGGCAAGCTGCCAACGAATATCCTTGAGCGACCTGGGCACCGGCGGGTGCCCTGCAGACCCTCATGTTGGATTGACCAAATGATCTTACATATATCCCGCTGAAAACTCACATGGACCATCATGGAATCATGGACCCAGAAAACCACTGGTTTGTAAAGGAACATCGTCTTTCAGGGTGCCAGGACGTCAGGGTCCATGTTAGTTTTCGGGAGTGAACTGAGAGATTGAAGGACCACCGCTCTAACTTTTGGGGTGTCATTTTGTTGTGACTAAGTCAAGTGAACATGCCCGCCGGAGGGTTGGATGGAGAACTCCCACTGACTCCTGCTTCACGTTCTGACCCATTTCCTTCCACTCTCAGGGCATTCTCCAAGATGTGCCCCAGCAGCTTTGCCAATACACGCGAAGCGGTGATGAACATGACCTTCTGGGCCAAGCTGTCGGATGACGAGCGAGCCATGTTCATGATCTTGGCCCTGGGATGCTTTGGATCGTTGTGTGGTTTGGCGTGCACCTACTTCCTCTCACCCTATGTGCCGGACGAGCCCGACGGCGAGGGCGAGGGGGAAGCCGATGCGGAGAGCGCGGAAGGAGAGGTCGAGGACCCCAGCCATCCGGGCTTGCGACGCTTCAATTTGCTCACGGGTGAAGTGGAGAGGTCGACATCCCGATCCACTAGAGGCATGGCGATGGCATGGGGGCCATGGATGGCCGTGGCACCTTGGGTAGACGGTGGATGATCTTTCAACCCTCCATATGAAGAGGTTGTTCAATCCATGTCTGGGGGTGTTTCATTACGCGTTTACATTAGGGATCATCAGGGCCTATAGTTCCACACTCCGGACCCCATCTGATGTTGAGTGGTGCATGGTGACCCCTTAGGCTCTTAGGTTTGAACTGGGACGATTCTCGCTTCTGGCTTTGGAACGCTGTCTTATCACTGTGGTGGAAGCAAGGTCTTGACCCCTTCAAATCAGAGGCCCCACTGTTCAATGTTCTACAGAAAGATGAAGGGAGAGTAGTAAGTAGTAGTCATTCCGGTCATTCACTTTAAGGAGCTAGTTCACTCTCTTTGGTTAAACTATGTTAAGCATGTTGAGCCAGAACGCCTCGCAGGCAGAGGGAAGCGCAGTTTGGCCAATGGTTTGGCTAGGATTGTGCGAACGAATGTGACTTGGTTTCGCAACAGATGATTCTCTGTTCATTTCAAGGCGAGCCTCGAAGGGATGGACGGCCCAAGATGCCCAAGGGATGGACCATTTCCTGCGATGAAAATCATCGTCCTCTTGGTTCTTCAGAGAACGTATACTGTCAGTGTGGTATTGAACAAAGTAACAAAGTGGTTAAGTGTCGGTAGTGTCGTGTGACAATCAATGGCCAGACTGACACCATAGGTCTGGCAGTATTGCACAATAGAAACACCATAAATGTTTCAATAAAACACAAGTTAATTGATTTTTTAAACCATAGGTCTGGCTATATTGCATTCACTACACGACAAGTGTTCAATTGTCATCGTCTTTTTCTCCGCGACAGCCGTGTCTCCAAGGCCAGCCGCCTGGCAGGTTACTTGCAGGATGCAAGTCCTCAACCGACCGGTTGTGCGAATTGCGACAAAGCGGCTACACATGTCTCTTGAAGCCAAGCAGATGGTCGAAAGCTGTCGAAAGCCTGACCCAGAAAGGACGCCCCGGATGCATTTTTTGTTTAATGGCAGGGGTGTCCCAGTGTACACCCACAAGTAAGGCAGTGCATTGACGTGCTTTTGCTTGGTGGGGTTCAAACTCAGAAAAAATCGAACTATTTGCCATGGCTCGAGATCATATTTTTCACCCTCAATGAAGCAAGACACAAGTATATAGTACTGAGTCTTGCAACTTGAACATGCTGTATGGACCGGGGACAGTAGAGTGGGTACCAGTGTTACGGGTCGGGGTCAGGAGGTCCTTCGTCTTTTTGATTGGCAGTGACTGGCAGCGGCCAGGTTTGCTTTCCCTGCAGTCACCTTTGCTTGTGTGTGACCTGTGCGGATGATCTCCTTCGGAGCACTGGACGAGCGTTCCAAGAGCTGGGGCCAGCGAGAGAGGTGCGAGAAGAGCGGATTGATTCACATCGAGGATCGCTTAGCATGGATGAACAGCCCTGTTGCCCCCTCTGTGGCCAGTTTGTTTTTTGCGTGATTGACGCAAAGCCAGCAACTTGGCGAACAGCGTGAGCCAGATGGTGGTATAATTGAGGGGCAATGCGGCCGCAACTATTTTATACAACATCCGCTCTTCTTACTCTTTGGCCCGGCCATTTATAATAACTTCTGCAACGCCCAGGGATGATTTGGAAGAACCTTGTTTGGTCACGTGCAACCCCCCATGAACATGTCTTCATGAGATCAAACAAATAATGGGCATCACTGCATCACTCAAAACAACTAGGCATCAAATGAACATTTAATAAGGTATTTAAAATCACAGGAATAGGCATTAAACAAAAATCGTCCTTTGGTCCCTTGCTCTAATCTTGTCTTGGTCCCCTGGTCCCTTGGTCCCTTTGATCTCTTGGTCCCTGTGGTCTCTTGGTCCCTTGGTCTTCTTGGTTCCTTGATGTCCTGGGGAGGGCCATTTATTTTAAGATATTGTTTCTTTGCGTCTGGCTTCTGTGGCTTTTGGCTTTCGTGGCTTTCGTGGCTTCTGGATTCTGTGTGGCTTTTGGCTTTTAAGGAAGGGATTCTTATCTATCTATCGATCTATCGATCTATCTATCGATCTATCTATCGATCTATCCATCCCATCCCATCCCATCCCATCCCATCCCATCCCATCCCATCCCATCCATCCTTCCATCCCCATCCATCCCATCCATCCCATCAATCCTATCCATCCTATCCATCCTATCTATACTTATCTATCCTATCTATCCTATCTTTCTATCCTATCTATCTTATCTATTTTATCTATCTGTCCAGTGGTTTCCTCAACACGGCCAGGACCAGAATGCAAGAATATAAACACTACTACTACTGCTGCTGCTGCTGCTGCTAGTACTACTACTACTAGTAGTACTACTACCAGTACTACTACTACTACTCCTACTACTACTACTACTACTAGTACTACTACTAGTACTACTACTAGTACTACTACTAGTACTACTGCTACTACTACTCCTACTACTACTACTACTCTTACTACTACCACTATCACTACCACTACCACTACCACTACCACTACCACTACTACTACTACTGCTACTACTACCACGACCACGACCACGACCACGACCACGACCACGACCACCACCACCACGACCACGACCACGACCACGACCACTACCACTACCAGTACCACTACCACTACTACTACTACTACTACTCCTCCTACTGCTCCTGCTCCTGCTCCTGCTTCTGCTTCTGCTACCACTACTACGACGACTACTACTACTACTACTACCACTACTACTACTACTACTACTCCTGCTGCTACTACTACTACTACTACGTCAACGACGACGACGACGACTACTACTACTACTACTCCTACTCCTGCTACTGCTACTGCTAGTGCTAGTGCTAGTGCTACTCCTACTCCTACTCCTACCACTACTACTACTACCACTACTTACTAATACCACTACCACTACCACTACGACTACTACTACTACTACTACTCTCCTGCTACTGCTACTGCTACTCCTACTACTACTCTCCAATACCACCACTGCTAGTGTTAAGAGTGCCATATTCTTTTGTGATCCTTATTGTTTTTCTTGTTGATCCCTTTGCACATTTTGTTTACATACTAATAGTTCATATATGTTCATATTAGTATTTGTTTTTTCTTTTTGACCTTCTTAAACGCGGTATTGTTTTTTGATTTTTTTGATCCCTCAACCTTAAGATCCAAGGCGAAAGTCTTTGACGTTCCTGGCCCTCTGGATATGGCCGTCACAGCGGCCTCTGCAGCTGCTCACTCCTTACGGCGGACAGCGGTGTCCGCAGCACAAGGAGAGGGGAGGGGTGGAGTGATGGCCACATTCCCTCGCAGAGGGTTGTGTTTCTTTGGACATGTCCGGAACAAGTGCACATGTGCACATGGTCATACATGGTCTTCGATCTCGTTGTACATGTCATACAAAGACTACAATAAGATTGCTGCCTGAATTGCAATCTCAAGACAACGCACCTTTAAAACAAAATCTGCCCAGGCGGCTTCGTTTAGATAACCTCACAAGGTCACAGAGCTTTGGTAGACCGACCATCCTAGATTTCAATCTCATTGAGAATTTGTGCAGTTTGCAGCGTTGAAACATACCTACAACATCCTACAGCATGACCTTGTAGTGTCTGAACTTTTTCAACATTGATTTCTATATAACATTCTCTAATTTTATTCCAATTCCCATGTGATCCTGCACAAACCGAAACCGAAACCGTCCACCATCCCGCACTTTTTCCTGGGTTTCCCACTGAAGAAGTCCGAACCATCGCGACGAACCGGCGCTAGGTGCCGCCTCAGTGGCATCGCGCCACGTGGGCGTCTCTCCCACCATGGTGGGGCGCTCGAGGGAGTCGGATTTCACCGTGTCGACGGGATCTTGAGGTGTTCGAGAGCCGCCCATCTCGGCTCTCGGAGTGGCCGAAGGTTGGTGGCTGCCCGAACAGAAACAAACATCAGGGCGTTTTCAGGAGTTTGGATTTTGAATCTGAGCTTTAATAAATGAAAGACCAGCTGACACGTGGCACTATGTTTAGCCATTGCTTTGGTGAAAGTTTAAACCAGGCGGCCACTCAGATTCAGCTCATATTGCCATGTGGAAATAGACATGCGCATTCTGAGTGCTTGTGTAGAATCAGCAATGTATTAAATTTTCAAAGAATTAGTTCTGTCAGGGTGCTAATGTGTTTGCTGTGTCGCCACCTAAAGGGTTGAGTGACAAAGCAAGTTTATGTCAGCCAGTCTGTTGACTTAATGAATCACACCATTCATCGCCTACATTTCCCGCAAAGAACAGTTGCGGGTTGATGGCTGGAACGATGAGACGATTCATTTGGGGTCCAGTTGCGTCGTTGGTCCTTTGCCTTGTTATGTTCGAGATAATAACTATACAAGTTGTTCTTCTATACCAGCTGCTTCCAAGGCCTTAAGGGGTCACCAATGGATATCTCCACACTACTAAGGGACCTCCATTGGGCACCCCTTGGAAGGTCCTGGTATAGGTATTTGTTTTTTCTGTGAAACACAAACATCATCGTTGATCCCAGAGACCCAGGACCACGACGAAAAAGGTGCCGCCTGCAGACCGTTTCTTTTTTTTCCAGCAGACCGGCTTCTTTGTGCAGCTTGGGGCAGTTGTCTGTAGGAAATGTGACTCCACTGGGCTTGGCTCAAAGCCTGACAGAGAGTCAAAGGATACCATAGGCCGCAATCATCAGAGAAAACACATTGATGCCAACGGTAAAGCATGGTAAAACGCTTATATAAATACTGCATTCAAGTGTCAGTGTCAAGTTGATGACCCACACACTGCAATTACCTAAGAATCTTCTCATGAGCTCAAGACGTTGCCCACCATGGGCCCCATGCCTCAATTCTAGAAGAAGCCAATTCCCACGCCCGCCATGCGGAGCGCAAAACACTGCGAAACACTACATTTCCCACGCAAAAGCTTGCGAAAGAGGGAAGGAACCCTTTCATCGGGAAAAAAGGACGTGTGTGTGTGTGTGTGTCAATTTCTGTTTGTGCTGAAATTGGGGAGCACACCTTACATATCCTTACACCTTCACGCAGATTACAGTGGTCTTTTAAAGTTCTTCTTTCCTTCGCTTCCAGCGCCGTCTCCAAAGCACCGTTCCGAGTGCAGTCCGCATGGCGTCGCTACGGAGCGCGCGTGGTCTCCGTGCGCTACGGAGACCTTTGAGACCGGTGCAGGACCGACGTTGGGACAGGATGAGTCTTGGAACGAGTGACGTGTCGCTTTTCCATATGTTTTTTCTTGCAGTGACGTGTAGCAGTTCCGAAAGCATGGATCGAACGCATGGACAATATGGACAATCATAGTCTAACAGAGCTGTCTAGAAGTGCCTGGACGACACTGGAACTGGTCAGTGCTTTGATTTGCGCTAGCGCACTCTCTCAACAATGTCGTCGACGACACTGGAACTGGTCCGATGGCAGGTCACCCTTCTGCAGACACATCTGCGGCCGACCGCATGTCTCGGTGCGAATCTAAGTGGAGTCAAAACTTGGTGATTGGTCGGATGAGGAAAAGTGCGGGTATCTGAACAAATCTGAAACACATTTTTTGATAATCCTTTTAATTGGGATGGGTTTCCCCCTTAAATGTGGCAGAAAAGGGTTGTGCCCAGACCTGTCAGTTTCACTGGTAGAACAGCCGGAGTTCGTTCGGTTCACCTTGACCCAGACACGCAAAACGCTGGGCAGATGTACAGGCATGATCTCCCAGGTCGGGGTCCGGTGCTCGGGGTTAGACTCCCAGGTCTCTCTTACGGGGCGAAGGGGCGAAGGGGTCTAAGACCTCGAGACTCTGAGAAGCAAGTAGGCCCTCCGAATGTGGGCTGAGAGATGGATGCTGAGAGTAGATGGATGCTGAGAGTCCCCAAGGGTGATGTAGGTGATTTAGATTGGACACCCGTCTTTTCCAGACATCTTGGGGGCACTGGGTGCCATCTACTCCTGAAAGCCATGTAATTCAGAGGCATCCCAGAAGGCTGGAAAGGGATCATCGGTGATCGAAGTTGCAAAGAATAATGATGCCTGTCGCCTGTCTGATGGATTCGTTGACGGCAGGCCTCGGGCATACTTATGGCAGTCTATCTATCTGACTCTATCAATCTGCCAGTGTGCAGCCATTGTCCAAAGGTTGGTTTTGGGTTTCAAGTTACCTAAACTAGTATATGAGTCATATGAGTAGATGACATGCTTTAATCTTGTATGCTGTCGATGAATCAATTGAGCATCATGGCCATGCTCTATGCGAGGCCTTCTGCAGCCCCACCATCGGGCCTTCTCAACGCCTGGTGGAGACTTCGAGAAACAACTCATGCCGGAGGAGTTGTTATCTCACGTGTATCCGGTTGCCGGGCAATGTTGGTTCAGAACGAACACATCCGTTTGACTCAGAAGAGCACCAACTCACAGGTGGACGCTTCGCAGACGTTTTTGTCCTGCCTTGCAGGACATCCTGCATCTCCGCGCGTTGTCCATGACAATCATGCAGGAGCATTTCCGTACCGATTTCGGCTGGCCACAGGGCCCAGCCTGGGCGTCTGGCAGGACACTGTCCATTTGAAGTTCAGATGATCCGCAGCACCGACCTGATTTGATCGTTCGTTCACGGAGTCGACGACCCATCGAGGTGCGGTGTGTGTTTTGGAAAATGGATCGAAAAAAGTAGATCAAAACGAGGCTTCAACGAGGTACGATTCATTATAAATTGGCCAGATCAAGTCATTAGTTTCACAGATGAGAGCCTGGAGATGCACTATAAGCTATTGTAGTTCATACAAGTTTCATCAATATTTTCCTATTCATATTATTGCTCATACTTTCTGGCGCAATTGGACACCGAAAGAGCACCAAGCCAACATCATCCCATCGCGATGTCAACAGAAGCCGGAAAACGCCTCTAAAAAGATCCCTCAAGAGCCTTCAAGGTGTATGAAGGGTGCAAGAGGTCAGCGAACTCGAAAATCCTCGCGGTCACCGTCATGAATTCGGCCGACCGTCGGCTCCTCTTTTGGTCGCTATATATACACGTACTCTCGAACCCCCCCGGCGATCTCGCAACGGACCCGCCTTCTTCAGGACCCCATTTGCGAACTCCGTCCTGAGGAGGCCTGATGAAGGGTGGGTGCGAAATAAAGGAGGGTGTTTTTGGAAAGATCGGTGTGGAGGAGCACTATGAGTGGGTTGTATGGTGATGGGCTAAATTGGAGGTTTTCGGGGTTTTCGGGTCGTCCATCCTCTTCTGTGGAAGATGAGTGTATAATATACATTGGGTCTGTCCTATCACCTGGAACAGTCAGTAAACAAGCAAATAACATCAAATAACTATTTTTGAACAAGGCCTGCAATCCAACCCACATCATCCACTGGGCCCAGGTATCTATATGCACAGCGTTCGACAGAGTCAAATCCATTCCAAATATTCTCAGCAAGGTTACCAGCACCTTCCAACAGGTCTCCTTTGGAGGGTTGTTAGGCCCTAACAGGTTTCAATTGATGACCCCTTGGAAGGTGCTTGTGTACAGTCTTGTTTTTTCCCATTCCAAATACTCCGAATCAAATCCGGTCGACCGGCTGGCCTTGCCGACATCGGCGCAAATCGGACTGCATCGGACCGACATCGGTTGGACGCACCGACCTCGCCGTCAGCATCGGCGTCCGAGACGCATCGGCGGCAGGTGCAGAGCTACTTGGCGGACCATGAGGATCCGATCGGTGACTTACCGCTGTGGAATCCACGTAGGACGAGATGCGTCGACGGGGGGTGCGGTGGGTGCGTAGGGCGTGCGTAGTGCTAGGAAGGTCAGTCAAAAGCAAGCAGAGCCAACAGATGGCTGTGCAAACGGCTCCGGCTAAGACTATTGAGTTGGAGGCATTGCACAAACACTAAGACGCTCGCCGAAGAAAGCATTGAAACCATTTGAAACCAAAATAATATGATATGTTTTGATCCTTCCCAATGTGTGCAGGATGCTACATCAAGTCTTGGATCCCTTCAGACTACGGAAGCTGACGGTGCCGTGCCTGAAATGCCTCAGAGAACTTGCCAAAAAATGATGGAATTGCCTTAACAGTAGTTCCAACAGTCTTTTTGCAGAGGAGGGTGATGGACCAGATACATGCAAGAGTCATCAAGAATCCAAGCTGACTGCGTCAGTTCACGTTGTTGGCTGAAGAACTCTCCTCCTGCAGTGCACTCCTTTCTGTCACCCTCCCCAAGCCTCTAAAGATGAATGAAACTATAGTATTTCATTTATTGTCATTTTCCATGCGAGGAATGAAGATGAATACACAATCCTCCAACTTATCATAGAAACGTAGCACATCACTTAGCCAGGTGGTAAGATATCACAAGCTGATCTTGGAGCGTTTGGACAATGAGCCGCTCCTGGAAGCCTTCGGAATCGACGCCGGCTTCAATATGCAGGCCGGTTCTCAAACGCGGTAAAGTGAGTGCCTTCCGTTTGTACCTCCAAGGCTTGGCAAGGCATGACATGACCAGTGACTTCCTAAATATAAAGTCCTCATTCGCTCCAGACTCCAGACTCCCGGAAGTGGATGTGAAGCAGGGCTTAGCCATGGACCCCATGGAGGCTTCTTAGAAGCACCCGGACCCCCTTAGCCAGGATTCGTTGTCGACACGGACATGGGCCGCAGATCGCGCACGCGGACAGAGCGTAACTCGAGGCCTATTTCATGATCCTCCATGCCTGGCTTTTGCACCAAAGACTGGTTCTGGAAGGCTCTAAGGCACCACGGGCGATCAGATCAGGGGCAGAATTGCAGAACTCAAGGATCGGATGAAAAGAGAATCGATGATCAACTGCAAGCCTGGACTTCTCCTTGAAGGGGGTGTCATGCTACCAAGAGAGCTCGAGCTCCTTTTGGACAACTGTCCACCTGTCAGACGAAAGTAGCACACGCTGAAAGACTTCCGTCGAATGCGATTGACTTTGACACGCGGCCGCAAGCGGCTGCGCGAGCTCATTTTCAAGAGGGCGTCCGACTCCAAGGCTTGCCTGACAGTTGCACAACAACCTTTTCGGCTCGAGACAATGAAAAAGGAAGCTTATAGGATATCATGATCTCAGAAATCACATGGTGTTAATGCCTGAAAAGCAAGTGTCCGAGATGCACAATCCGTGAATCTGCAGCACCCATCGCTGAAGGCAGGCCACACGACATCAAGTCGCAGCTAGTACAAGCATCGTCACCAGTCACCTTCCAGCCCCCCCTGGCAGAGTGGAAACGCAGTCAGATGGCTGTTCTCAGCCCCTTGGCAGAAGAATGCTGGGGAGAGATCCGGAGAGATGCATGCTTGTGATTGGTTCACTTCCAAGCCCTGGGCTCCAGAAAGTAGGCCCCAGTCAGGTCAGTCGAAGAACATGATCAACCTATTTGCGCTTCAGGAATATTCAGGAAGATTCAAACACAAATACAGCATCCTTTCACCATCCTTTCACCTAAGCATCAGGCTTAGCAGGCTTCAGCATCCTTTCACCTAAGCGGCCAGTCCGACATGTTGATCTGTGACCGGCGACAGGACGTCAACGGCACCGATCTTGCCGACCGGCCCAGGCACTGCAAGGCCCAGCCGACCAAGGCTGGAGTGAAAAATGGCTGGCTTGGGTTCGATGGCTGTCGTGAATGGACTTGTGACAAACCCCAGGGGCCTGAATTTTCATGCAACATCCACATTCAGACACATCATGAAGAATATCCTTTCATTCAGACACCATGTTTTCAATGGTGTTCACACCCCTCTCGCCGAGGCAAGTGACGGAAACAAAGACACGACTCACGTCCTGCGGCGTCGGCGGGCCTCCAGGATCTACGCCGACTTCCTCTTCACCGAGCTGAAGGTCACTGAGGCGGTGGAACGTGCGGGATTGCGGAGAGGTCGGATCGGTGGTAGCAGTTTGGATGGACAGTCATTGAATAACGTGGAACCTGGTTTGTACCTGTAGTAGATAAGGGCTGTGAGCGGCTCGAACGCGATTGCTTTTTGCCATGCCGTGCTGATCTTGATCTCCCTGGACCGGCGCTCCTGATCCCTTCCATCTCCCTCCTGAACGGCGGCCGCTGCTGGTTGCCTTGGCTGCGGTGGCGCTGCCTTCATTGCGACCTGGAAGTGCCCTGGTGCACCCTGGCTGGGAGGGGATCTTTGTGCGGTACACCTTCCGTTCTTCCTGATCCTGACATTGATTAGGGAGGTTTTGAATCCGCCGGTGCAATAGCATTTCCATTCAGTACATGTCCGCTCAGCTGGGTCCCAAATCCCAGCCCAGCTGGCACCAGAGCTTTGGGTTGAGGTGGACCTACCCTTGGACCTTCTTGCTTTTGATCATGTCCACCTTCGTGTTCAATCCACATGCTCCCAGCTGGCAGCCCGAGGGTTCCACCTTGGCCATCAAAGGTGGGGGAGTTCACAATGAAGAGATTCCCAATGGCTTCACCACAGGAACGAAGCTAGATGGCATAGACCCTATTCACTCACAGGCACAACATCGGACTCAATCCAATCCATCGTGCAGGAAACGAGCTTATCTCAAAGCCTTGAAAAGAGCTACGCTGCACGGAGTGACTTGGTACAAGGGCAAATACATGACGGCACAGCAACTTGGCATCCGGGCCCTTCATCTGAGCCCAACCAACCTGACAGTTGAGCCCCCACAACAACGGGCCCACCTTCCAGCGGAACACTGGTCTAGCAACCGTCAACCTTCATGCAGATTCCGCCAACATCGACTGTCCTTTCTTTCTTGGAATATTGGACAGCTGAGCATGCTCAAATGGGACATGTTTAGGCAGTTTACAGGGGAATGGGCCGACGCACAATTCTCCTACCTTCATTCAGGTGCCACTCTTCATCGTGGAGGACTCCTGACCATCATCCGGACGGGGTTCTGTGGCTCGGACAAGCTTGCATGGTCTACTCCCATGTCAAGTAGAATTCAACACGTCCGTCTATACATGAACAACTACAACCTTGACATTCTGAACCTGTACCAGTTCCCCTACAACCAGGCTGACCCTGAGTGTGGTCCTCTCCGCAAGCAGTTTTGGAATGAAATGGATAAGCAACTTAAGCTGCTCCCACGCCGGAACTGCTGGATCCTGGGAGGTGACCTCAACACCAGCTTGAAACACCAGGCACTATGTGTTGGTCTCAGCGATTTTGCTACCCCGGCTGGCCGCTGCAGAGGCTCGAGCCATCCGGATGCTTCCACCCTCCTACAGATGCTGAAGGATCACTCTTTGGTGGCCCTCAACACCTGGACACAAGAACTGACCGCTACCTACCACGGACCAAGAAACGCGGCCTCCAGAATTGACTACGTTCTGGTTCAACAGAGGGATGGAGATTCCAGAGCCAAACATGTCACCTACCTGCATGACCTCCCTTTGATGATGGGTCTTCATGATGATCATCAACCCCTTCTTTGCGGCATCCCATGGAGAAGATTCTTTCCATGCCAAACTCATCAAGGGTTGTCAAGGACACAACGTAAGACCCTTCAACATCATTGGGAACAGGACACACCAGACTGGAAGACCCTGGTGGGACACCTTCATGCACAGTTGGACAACCACACCTATGACTCTCCGGATCTCGAGGCACTGAACGAGGGGCTCCTTGACCTTTGCCGCAACTTCCGTCCTTTGCAACCAATGCCTCAGGATGGGTGGCAAACCAAGTGGCAATGGGCGCTGCAGCATGCCCCTGCACCGACCAGGAGCTCTACACCTCAATGCCTTCTACTGGAGGTCTTCAAAGGCTGGCAATGGGCTGTCCTTCAGGCTCAATGGCGCAGGCAAACGAGGAAACGGGCAATTCAACATCGACGAGACCGGGTCCAACACATCATTGACCAGGCTACTTGGTACTGGGCTGGGAATCAAACGCACTACTACTTCAAAACGGTCAACCACCTGACTCCCAAATCGTATTCCCAGAAACCACACCTTCGAGGTCCCCAGGGTCAGATGCTCTCACCTGCTGAAGAACTTCAACTTCTGGAATCATACATGAAAGACCTCTACCAGGCCCAACCGGCTCCTCTACCCTCATTCACAGTGACACAGCCACTTGTGACTGCCAACGACATTGCTCTGGAACTTAGACATCTTGAGGGTCGGAAGGCGGTCCCCAATCACATTGCACCGAGCTTCATTTGGAAGGAATTGGCTCTTCCCATCGGCACCCTGCTGGAAGGTTGGTGCCAACAATGGTGGATGGTTGGACATCTTCCGGAAGAATGGCGCAGCGGTTGGATCGTGTTTCTGACCAAACCCAACAAGGTGCCTAGTCAACCCAGTGCACTCCGACCGATCGCTCTTCAAACTCCTATTGCCAAGAGCATTATGTCAATTTTTGTCAACAAAGCCCGGCTTCATGCTCTACCCACATTGTACACCTATCCTCAATTTGCCTACCTGCCTGGACGTGGTACTTGGGATGCAACATGTCGTGTCTTTGCCCATGTTCAGGCAGTGGAGCAGCTTCGTGATAGATGGCGCTACAATGCTAGCTATGATGCCCCACCATCTGCGGGGAGAAAACCTCACCTGTACGGTGGATGCCAGTTGTTCTTGGATCTCACTCAGGCCTTTGATCACATGCCCAGAGATTCCTTACAACAGGCTTTTGAGCTGTTGCACATTCCTTCTCCTGTTCGAGAAATCCTGTTGCAATGGCATCATGACACCAAGTACATTCTGACTTACAAGGGTCACTCCTGCACTGTGCCGACATACAAAGGCGTGAGACAAGGATGCCGTGGTGCCCCCTTTTTCTGGGCCTCATTTGTAGCACTGATCTTGCAAGAGGTCGAGAAAGTCACCTCACCTGAATGGATGCATTCCTCTTGCACCTTCTATGCGGATGATGGTCATCTCTGTTTTTGCTTCACCAGTCTGGACGAGTTTCAGAGAGGAATCAAATACATGGGGCATGTACTAGATGTGCTGACCACATTTGGGATGACCGTCAACCTCACCAAATCCGCCTTGCTGCTCGAACTCCGAGGAACTCAGAAATCCAAGGTTCAAAAACAATATCTGCGCAGTCGTACTCATTATCAAGTGATGCAGATTGCTGGAGCCTATACCGTCTACGACATCCCTCTCAAAACTTCCCATGATTATTTGGGGGTGAAAATCAGTTATCAACAGACCCAGCTCCTGACCATGAAGCACCGCTTGGCCGCCTGTGCACATCGATTTCGTCAATTGTTGCCTTGGTTCAAGAAGGGGAACCACATCAGCATGAGTCAGAAATATGAATTGTGGTATACGTGCATTCTCCCCATATCCCTCTACGGGATTGATGCAACTGGAGTGACGGATTCAACCATGATTTCCTTCAACAAGCAACTGATGAAACAACTTCGTCAGATTGGTGGTGATCACTCCTTTTTGACCAACAATTCTCATCGTGCATTCCTGCGCACGCATGGACTTGAGCGCCCCATCGGTGCCCTTGCTCGTCGACTCCGATCTCAGATCACACGGTGGGAGGAGAGACGCCAGAACCTGTCACAGCATGACATATTGAGGAACATCCAAGTTCTGCATTTGCAACAAGCGCTAGAGCTCACTCAACTCTGGTTGCAGGACTTCATGGCCCAACCGGAGCAAGATGATCCACAACAGCTGGCGGAGGCCTGCATGGCATGCAAAACATGTGGCATGACGTTCAAACTCCCACATACTCTACATCGACACCTGATTCACGTCCATGGGATTGC